ATAAGTTTAAATTATAATAGTCAATATTGATTTTGGAAGTTATCTTCAGATTAAAATACTTAACAAGATAGATTTACTTAACATACTTAAACCAATCAAGAGAAGCAAAAAGCATCAAATTCTGATAGCAATATTTAAGGAATCTCATTTTTCAATTATTTTAAGAAAATGTAAAAAATAATGAAGAATAATAAAAAATGCAAAATTAAGAACTAATGAAGAATGCTTATTTAAAATGTTTGTTTTAAGAATAAGTTTCTAAATTTAAGCATGTTGGAAAAATATCATATAAATACTTTTTAATAGAAATATTAATTTAAGATTTGAATATTCAATACCAAAATCAATCTCAACCTTTCTGGCCTACAAAAATGGTTGTTTCTGCTCAATGATATATTTGGAAATCTAAAGAAAGAGAATGAATTGTTAAAAAACAAATTAAAATATGTGAAAAATAAAAATAAAATTAATTGAAATAGAAAAATAAATATTAAATCTTTTGAAGTTTATAAATATCAATCTATTCATTTATCATTTTAAACTTGTTTTTAATAAAATTGTGAACTAGCCTCTCCTTTATTTATTTTAATTAAACCATTATTCATTTCCACCGACATTCCAGTTACTACAAATTGATATTTTTTCAGATCTTCATTAGCTGTTTGATTCATTTGCTTAACTTTGGTATCTACATCTATTTTAACGCCAGAAGCATCATGAGTGGATTATAATCCTTGGATTATATCTTAGGTCATTGCTTTAATTTAATACTCTTTTCCCATTACAGTTTTTATTCGAAAAGCTTACATATATTCTTCATCTGTTAATAAATCTATAAACCCTGCATTAAATCTGCCCTCTTGGATAATTTTCTTATCAATTCCAGTATCAGTAGTATTTTTATTTCTTAAAACAAGACAAAATTTTTCTTCCTCAAAATTATATTTAAATTTTTAAGGAGTCAAACCTTCATTCTTTAATGACTGTAAAGCATCTCCAAGAGCTTCATGATAAAAAAGGCTTGTAGTATATTTTTTTATAGGATTTTTACTACAATATTCTTAGCATAGACATAACTAAAGTCCATCTTCAGGAATTTTAAATTTACACTCAACCATTTTCTCATAAAATGATTCAAAATCTATATAGGAATTATTTTAACAGTTCTTAATTATTAATGGGTATTATAGTTTTCTATTTGGATTTAAAATACATTTCAATGAATTAAATTCAACTTCTTTTACATAAGTTCCATCATTATTCTTTCTCTATTTCAAAATAGAGGTATATGTATTTTTACTAAACTTTTACTTAGATAGAAATTCCTCCAACATATATAGTTTTCCATTATAATCAAATTATTTAAAATCATTAACAGTAGAATCTTTAAACATTCTAGAAATAATATTTTAATCAAAGTAAATTAAGTTATTCAGTAATCCTGTTTTTGTTTCTAAAATATTATTGCAAATTGGACAATTAATTTATTCAGAAATCCCTTATTTTTTTTTATTTTTGAAAAAATGAGCTATATAAGTTCTAATATCTGCACATCGATTATAGTCTGTGCATTTTATACATCTAACAGGAAATTCAACTTATTTTCCATTAAGAGGATCAATCAAATTAATTTTTCTTATCTGATATTTCTGTTAATTTAATTTTTCTTAAATTTCTTAACTGATATTTAATTATATAATCGACTATATTTACACCATTATTGAATTGTAAGTGGCATTGTCAAGATTTTAATGAATATTTACAATATAAGGATCCCTATCTTAGAAATCTTTTGTAAAACTTTTTTTTTAAAGATCATAAGTAAATTTAAATTAAATTGATGGAGCAGAGTTTAAAAGATTTAACAATTCTTAATCTATAAATAGTTTTGACAACATAAGAGGCAAAGTCTAAATGTCTATTTTATTATCACAACCAGGGTAACTACAATGAAAAATAATACTTTTATCATTTATATCTCTTATTATTCTAGAATCTTTATTCAAATCACATTGTTTCTAATAAAATAAAAGACTTGTTAACTCGTAACATGCTGGATGCGAGCAACCTATTATTCTTGTAGGAAGTATTATTTTAATTTTATCTAAAAGACAATAAGCCCAAAAATCATAAAAAGAACCTTAGAAACCTTATTTCAAAATCAAATTTGAAATTGAATTAGATTCATGATATCTTTTATAAAGTGTACTTACAAAATTTTAGAGTGATGCCTCTTAAGTAGCTTAAGAGATTGTGTTAGTATAAATATTTTTCCTAGAATATTTGTGAGTCATTATTCCTTAGATAACTTATATATATTAAGTTATATTGTGAAATAGTTTTTGTGCAATACCTCTGACATCTTTCCGTAGATGCTTTATTGATTCTGCTTTTTTTCCACATAAGCACTAGGCGAATCCATTTTTAGATCTTATTTAATTTACTGCATCTTAGCAACTTAATAGTTATTATTAATTAACATGAATACAATCTTTTGTTATTACCTATTTAAATATATATTCTATACAGGTTATTTTACAGGCTCAATGCCATTCACTTACAATTATACTTAATCGTAAGAAATTATACTTAAATCTGCATCAGGTATCTCATCATATGATATTGTCTAAATTCCTTGCATGTTTAAACTTTAATAGAAATTAAAATTATATATCAATTTTTTATATATTAGTTTGAAATACAAAATAATTCTACACAAATTCCTACATGGTTCTAATTATTTCTTTCATAAAATGACTCCTAAAATTAGATTTAAACTAAAAAATATGATTTAAGTATTCTTCTTTTCTTTTAAATTTGAATATTTCAATTATCACTTCATTAATTGATTTAATTTCATAGAAAACCAAAAGTTTAGTTTTAGTCAATTAAAAATAATCTCTTGAAAGCCTTTGCAAATCAATTTTGCCATTGATAAAATAATAATTTAAAAATTCTTATTAATATTAAAAAATCTAAGGATCTACTTTTTACCTCTTTAAATTTTTTTTGTATTGTACAACAATAACTTTTTTGAATATTTTTCAAAAAGTAATTATCAAGAAATATTTCTCCATAAATGACTTAAGAGTCACATGTGAATATGCCATATATTCTTTGCTATAGTTTTATTGAAAATATTCTGAAAGGTAAGATAAGTGAACAAACTCCTCAACATAAAATAAAAATTTGAGAAAAAAGAAGCTGTAATTTAAAAAAATTATCTTTTGTAATAAGTTTAAATTATAATAGTCAATATTGATTTTGGAAGTTATCTTTAGATTAAAATACTTAACAAGATAGATTTACTTAACATACTTAAATCAATCAAGAGAAGCATAAAGCATTAAATTCTGATAGCAATATTTAAGAAATGTTATTTTTCAATTATTTTAAGAAAATGTAAAAAAATAATGAAGAATAATAAAAAATGCAAAATTAAGAACTAATGAAGATTTCTTAATTTTAATTTTTTTTTAAGAATAAGTTTCTAAATTAAGCATTTTGGAAGAATATCATATAAATACTTTTTAATAGAATTATTAGTATTAAGATTTGAATATTCAAAACCAAAATGAATCTCAACCTTTCTGGCCCATAAAAATGGTTGTTTCTGCTCAATTATATATTTGGAAATCTAAAGAAAGAGAATGAAATGTGAAAAATAAAAATAAAATTAATTGAAATAGAAAAATAAATATTAAATCTTTGAAGTTTATAAATATTAATATATTCATTTATCATTTTAAACTNTTTGTGAGTCATTATTCCTTAGATAACTTATATATATTAAGTTATATTGTGAAATAGTTTTTGTGCAATACCTCTGACATCTTTCCGTAGATGCTTTATTGATTCTGCTTTTTTTCCACATAAGCACTAGGCGAATCCATTTTTAGATCTTATTTAATTTACTGCATCTTAGCAACTTAATAGTTATTATTAATTAACATGAATACAATCTTTTGTTATTACCTATTTAAATATATATTCTATACAGGTTATTTTACAGGCTCAATGCCATTCACTTACAATTATACTTAATCGTAAGAAATTATACTTAAATCTGCATCAGGTATCTCATCATATGATATTGTCTAAATTCCTTGCATGTTTAAACTTTAATAGAAATTAAAATTATATATCAATTTTTTATATATTAGTTTGAAATACAAAATAATTCTACACAAATTCCTACATGGTTCTAATTATTTCTTTCATAAAATGACTCCTAAAATTAGATTTAAACTAAAAAATATGATTTAAGTATTCTTCTTTTCTTTTAAATTTGAATATTTCAATTATCACTTCATTAATTGATTTAATTTCATAGAAAACCAAAAGTTTAGTTTTAGTCAATTAAAAATAATCTCTTGAAAGCCTTTGCAAATCAATTTTGCCATTGATAAAATAATAATTTAAAAATTCTTATTAATATTAAAAAATCTAAGGATCTACTTTTTACCTCTTTAAATTTTTTTTGTATTGTACAACAATAACTTTTTTGAATATTTTTCAAAAAGTAATTATCAAGAAATATTTCTCCATAAATGACTTAAGAGTCACATGTGAATATGCCATATATTCTTTGCTATAGTTTTATTGAAAATATTCTGAAAGGTAAGATAAGTGAACAAACTCCTCAACATAAAATAAAAATTTGAGAAAAAAGAAGCTGTAATTTAAAAAAATTATCTTTTGTAATAAGTTTAAATTATAATAGTCAATATTGATTTTGGAAGTTATCTTTAGATTAAAATACTTAACAAGATAGATTTACTTAACATACTTAAATCAATCAAGAGAAGCATAAAGCATTAAATTCTGATAGCAATATTTAAGAAATGTTATTTTTCAATTATTTTAAGAAAATGTAAAAAAATAATGAAGAATAATAAAAAATGCAAAATTAAGAACTAATGAAGATTTCTTAATTTTAATTTTTTTTTAAGAATAAGTTTCTAAATTAAGCATTTTGGAAGAATATCATATAAATACTTTTTAATAGAATTATTAGTATTAAGATTTGAATATTCAAAACCAAAATGAATCTCAACCTTTCTGGCCCATAAAAATGGTTGTTTCTGCTCAATTATATATTTGGAAATCTAAAGAAAGAGAATGAAATGTGAAAAATAAAAATAAAATTAATTGAAATAGAAAAATAAATATTAAATCTTTGAAGTTTATAAATATTAATATATTCATTTATCATTTTAAACTTGTTTTTAATAAAATTGTGAACTAGCCTCTCCTTTATTCATTTTAATTAAATCATTATTCATTTCCACCGACATTCCAGTTACTACAAATTGATATTTTTTCAAATCCTCATTAGCTGTTTCATTCATTTACTTAACTTTGGTATCTACATCTATTTTAACGCCATAAGCATCATGAGTGGAGTATAATCCTTGGATTATTTCTTAGGTCATTGCTTGAATTTAATACTATTTTCCCATTACAGTTTTTTTTTGAAAAGCTTACAAATAGTCTTCATTTTTTAATTAATCTCTAAATCCTGCATTAAATCTGCCCTTTTGGATAATTTTCTTATCAATTCCAGTATTAGTATTATTTTTATTTCCTAAATCAATATAAATTTTTTCTTCCACAAAATTATATTTAAATTTTTAAGGAGTCAAACCTTTATTCTTTAATGACTGTAAAGCATTTCCAAGAGCTTCATGATAAAAAAGGCTTGTAGTATATTTTTTAATAGGATTTTTACTACAATATTCTTAGCATAGACATAACTAAAGTCCTTCTTCAGGAATTTTAAATTTACACTCAACCATTTTCTCATAAAATGATTCAAAATCTATATAGGAATTATTTTAACAGTTCTTTATTATTAATGGGTATTATAGTTTTCTATTTGGATTTAAAATACATTTCAATGAATTAAATTCAACTTCTTTCACATAAGTTCCATCATTATTCTTTTTCTATTTCAAAATTGAAGTATATGTATTTTTACTAAACTTTTACTTAGATAGAAATTCCTCCAACATATATAGTTTTCCATTATAATCAAATTATTTAGAATCATTAACAGTAGAATCTTTAAACATTCTAGATATAATATTTTAATCAAAGTAAATCAAGTTATTTAGTAATCCTGTTTTTGTTTCTAAAATATTATTGCAAATTGGACAATTAATTTATTCAGAAATCCCTTATTTTTTTTTATTTTTGAAAAAATGAGCTATATAAGTTCTAATATCTGCACATCGATTATAGTCTGTGCATTTTATACATCTAACAGGAAATTCAACTTATTTTCCATTAAGAGGATCAATCAAATTAATTTTTCTTATCTGATATTTCTGTTAATTTAATTTTTCTTAAATTTCTTCACTGATATTTAATTATATAATCGACTATATTTACACCATTATTGAATTGTAAGTGGCATTGTCAAGATTTTAATGAATATTTACAATATAAGGGTCCCTATCTTAGAAATCTTTTGTAAAACTTTTTTTTTAAAGATCATAAGTAAATTTAAATTAAATTGATGGAGCAGAGTTTAAAAGATTTAACAATTCTTAATCTATAAATAGTTTTGACAACATAAGAGGCAAAGTCTAAATGTCTATTTTATTATCACAACCAGGGTAACTACAATGAAAAATAATACTTTTATCATTTATATCTCTTATTATTCTAGAATCATCTTTATTCAAATCACATTGTTTCTAATAACATAAAAGACTTGTTAACTCGTAACATGCTGGATGCGAGCAACCTATTATTCTTGTAGGAATTAATATTTTAATTTTATCTAAAAGACAATAAGCCCAAAAATCATAACAAGAACCTTAGAAACCTTATTTCAGAATCAAATTTGAAATTGAATTAGATTCATGATATCTTTTATAAAGGGTACTCACAAAATTTTAGAGTGATGCCTCTTAAGGAGCTTAAGAGATTGTGTCAGTATAAATATTTTTCCTAGATTATTTGTGAGTCAGTATTCCTTAGATAACTTATATATATTAAGTTATATTGTGAAATAGTTTTTGTGCAATACCTCTAACATCTTTCTGTAGATGCTTTGTTGATTCTGCTTTTTTTCCACATAAGCACTAGGCGAATCCATTTTTAGATCTTATTTAATTTACTGCATCTTAGCAACTTAATAGTTATTGTTAATTAACATGAATATAATCTTTTGTTATTACCTATTTAAATATATATTCTATACAGGTTATTTTACAGACTCTATGCCATTCACTTACAATTATACTAAATCCTAAGTAACTATACCTAAATCCGCATCAGGTGTCTCATAATATGTTGTGGTCTAAATTCCTTGCATGTTTAAGCTTAAATAGAAATTAAAATTATATATCAATTTTTTATATATTAGTTTGAAATACAAAATAATTCTACACAAATTCCTACATGGTTCTAATTATTTCTTTCATAAAATGACTCCTAAAATTAGATTTAAACTAAAAAATATGATTTAAGTATTCTTCTTTTCTTTAAATTTGAATATTCCAATATTCACTTCATTAATGGACTTAATTTCTTAGAAAACCAAAAGTTTTGTTTTAGTCAATTAAAAATAATCTCTTGAAAGCCTTTGCAAATCAATTTTGCCATTGATAAAATAATAATTTAAAAATTTTTATTAATCTAAGTATCTAGCTTTTGCCTCTTTAAATTTGTTTTGTATTGTACAACAATATTAATGACTTAAGAGTCACATGTGAATATGCCAAATATTCTTGTTATAGTTTTATTGAAAATATTCTGAAAGGTAAGATAAGTGAACGAACTCCTAAACAGAAAATAAAAACTTGAGAAAAAAGAAGGTGTAATTGAAAAAATTATCTTTTGTAGAGTGGAAATATTGTAATTTATGTGATTTTTTATGTCATTAGTTTTCAGTTTAAATCAGAATTTCATTCTAAATTTAGAATAGAATTTATTATATTGTTTAGAATTGAATTCATATATTTATATATTTGTGGCTCAGTTCTCCTGCCTTAGCATTATTATAATACTAAAAATAAATATTTTTATTATTATTATTATTATTATTATTATTATTATTATTATTATTATTATTATTATTATTATTATTATTATTATTATTATTATTATTATTATTATTAAGAGTTTGGCCCTTTGGAACATTTATGATGCCTTGCTTTTTAAATACTCTGTTGCTTATATTATTCAAATAAAAATTTTTCTAAAGGAAGCAAAGAATGATGAGCGATAGAATTAACTTTTTGAATGAAATTTTTTAGTTTATTTTTAATTATGAATATTTAATATCTAGCATCAAAATTAAAAATCTACGTGAAGAATTAAAATTTTTTTAATCGCTCAGTTGAGCTCTCTATTAATAATCAAAAAATTATGGATTTTGCTCTTAATTACAATAAAAAAATTCTTATTTTTTTAATTTATTTTGAAATATTTAGCGATAAAAAAAATACACTTATGTAATACGTATTGGTTGAGGAAGTTGATATTCCATTTAGCCCAAGTTTAAATTATAATAGTCAATATTGATTTTGGAAGTTATCTTTAGATTAAAATACTTAACAAGATAGATTTACTTAACATACTTAAATCAATCAAGAGAAGCATAAAGCATTAAATTCTGATAGCAATATTTAAGAAATGTTATTTTTCAATTATTTTAAGAAAATGTAAAAAAATAATGAAGAATAATAAAAAATGCAAAATTAAGAACTAATGAAGATTTCTTAATTTTTATTTTTTTTTAAGAATAAGTTTCTAAATTAAGCATTTTGGAAGAATATCATATAAATACTTTTTAATAGAATTATTAGTATTAAGATTTGAATATTCAAAACCAAAATGAATCTCAACCTTTCTGGCCCATAAAAATGGTTGTTTCTGCTCAATTATATATTTGGAAATCTAAAGAAAGAGAATGAAATGTGAAAAATAAAAATAAAATGAATTGAAATAGAAAAATAAATATTAAATCTTTGAAGTTTATAAATATTAATATATTCATTTATCATTTTAAACTTGTTTTTAATAAAATTGTGAACTAGCCTCTCCTTTATTTATTTTAATTAAACCATTATTCATTTCCACCGACATTCCAGTTACTACAAATTGATATTTTTTCAAATCCTCATTAGCTGTTTCATTCATTTACTTAATTTTGGCATCCATATCCATTTAAAAATTTGATATTTTCAAATATTCTTTCATTTAAAAACTTTAATAGAAATAAATTAGTTTTATGAATTTAATATATTCATTTATAAATTACAAATAATTCTACTTAACCTTTTATAAATATTTTATTTTCTTTCATATTATGTCTCCTCAAAATAGTTTAAACAACAATATTTCTTAATTTATTTTAATTTACGCTAAGATTATATATATTCCTAAAGTCACTTCTTAGATAACCAAAGATTTAGATAGCCATTCTTCTTAAAAATTTTTGTTCTTCTTCAAGAGTTTACTTTTTTTTATAATTATAAATCAGATAATTTTTTTATAATATTATGTAAAAGAAAAGAATACATTACAATCACATGGGTTTTTAAATGAATTTAATAATAGTAATAGAATTCAAACTCAGGTTATATAAATTTCAACAAATTCTTCTATTTTCTATTTACAGATCGGACATTTTGAAATATTTAATTCTTATTTACAACTTTAACAAATTACCATATGTTTGCAAGGTAAATGTATAATATTTTTTGGTTATTGCTAACAATTTTAACATTCAAAATTATTAATTAAAATATGTTTCAGTCCTCTTAGTTTCTTTAATTTATATATTTATCTATGTCTAATTAATTTAAAAATAACTTTCTTGAAATTCTTTGAAAAATAATAAATTAAAAAAAATATTGCCATCAATAAGATAATAATCTAAAAATTCTTATATCTTATTTATGTTTCAATAAATCTAAGTAATTATCTTTTGTCTCTTAAAATGTGTTTTGGATTCTACAAAAATAGTTTATTTAAATATTTATCAAAAAATATTTCTCCATAAATAACATAAGAGTCTCCTGCTAATATGCCATACTCTCTTTCTAATAGTCCAATTGAAAATCCTCTAAAAGGTATTTTTTCTGATCTCGCCTAATTAACTGTTCTAAGAATAAAATTAGTGATTCTTTAAAAAATGGATAATCGCTTTGGATAAAAGATGTCTTATATATGTGTTAAGGACGCTTAGCAATTGAAATTTGTGCTTCTCAATATATCCACTTAAAATTTAGAATCAGCAATACTTATTTGAGTGACACCTTTGGAAGTAATTTTCTTTAACTTTTTTCTATTACAATTAATATTTAATTACATATTATTGTTGTATAGATCATAGATTATTTTTTGGCTCCAAATCAATGGGAATTTAGAAGCTAATGGTTTTTAAGAAATCAATTCACCAGAAACAAATACCTATATATTAGTTTTTTTCTCTTAATTAAAATATTGGATCAGCTATGTTGGAGTGAATTGTTTAACTAATTGATAGGATTTATATTTTTCTTTGAGTTTATTAAGAGAGCGTAGAACCTACGATAACGTTGCACCTATTCCCAAAATTCCAGAGAGAGAAAATAATGTTTTATATTCCTCCATTAGTAAATTTTTTTATAAAAATAATAATCAATTATTAATTTAAATTATCAAAAAAATACTTTATATTGAATCTTTTTAGAAATCTAATTTGTATTTTAGATATTTAAAAGGATTTTTGAGGAATTTTAAGTATCAGGTATGAATTGATTGTTGATTGGATTATATTTTAGTTTTTCAGACAAATATTGAAAGAGATCTGAAAATGAATTCTGACTAGTTTTATTGTTTGTCGTGTAAATGAGCCAATTAATCAATATTCTTAGGCAGGTTTATCTAATTGAATGAAGTAATATTCTTAAGGGATTAAATATGGAAGAATCACTCTACAATTTCACATATAATTAGTATATGTTTTATTTGATGTGAGATTGATATAATACTTGTGGCTCTACGATTCATTAAAATTCTTAGTACATTATTGAATGGATTTATTATATATTATCAATCCTGCCTTAAAATCATTTATTTTATGTTTTTTGACCAAAATTTTTTGGAACATAAAGACTACTTATGTCAATCATAAATAACTATAATTTAGAAAACTTTCAGAAAAATTATCTAATAATTTTGAATATCATCATAAGTCCTAGAAGTTGGAATGTAGGCTCAGACCTTGTTTCTTTTAGTGTCTTTTAACATTTAATATTTGGGCTATATTATAATTATTTCATGCAATTATTAGGTTTCTGAAAAATCATTATTTTTTCTAATTTTTCTACTTATATCAAAAACATTTTCAACATGTTAGCAAATTAATAATAATACATTCGCTTCGACGTATTGAACTAATAACAACATCAGAAATGTTTAAATTTCTAGAATGCAAATTATAATATCTATAATTCTATTTTTATAATTCATATTCAAAACTAAGTCCAACTCAGATCTTTTGGATTATGATCTATATAATTTAAAAATTTAATCATACATTCAACTTTTTTCCATTCTTTTTGAAATTCATTATCTCCAGAGAGATGACTATAGAAGTCTTTTGCATCTTAAAGGTTTTGATTAAGGTTTCGTTTAAAGGGTCTTTGAACATTGTGCATGTTATTGGATGGTAATCGTGTATTCATTAAAAATAAAAATTAATGAATTATGTTATAAATAATCAACCTATTAACAAGCAAGTTGGTTTGCCTCTTAAAAGCTTGCCAAATGAGTAAATTATGTAGAATTAGGTTTTTAAGATGAAGAAGATGTAGATCTTAATGTTACTAATTGATATACTCTTGTAAATGTTATTTAATTTATTTTATGCAATTTAAAGTTTCAGAGAATTATCTTTTAAAAGATATTTATCCTGCAATATTCTCATTAGAAAAATAATATATCGTTAAATTACAGATAAATCAGTAGATAAATAAGGCCAGAGATCTATTGATTTAATTTTAAGCTAGAAATGATGGCTCTTTTTAATTTTTGTCTACTTGAGCACAGATGATAATCGTATTAATCTAAATCAAAAAACTTAACTATTATAATTATTTTTTAGTTAGCCCATATCTATTGAGGCAAAAGAAAGAAATTAAAATGAAAATCGAAACATAAGTTTTTATGCAAGTAATTTTAGTTTTGGAAGATGAAAAACGAGATTATTAGAAGTTTTCAATATTTACATCAAAGTTATAATTGTTAGGAAAAAAATTTTTAATAATTTTCATAATAAATAGGGAGCTTAAGTCATTTCATACAGAGTATATCATTTAATCTTTAATTTTAATGTAAACCCAACATTAAATAAGTTTAATGAAATTTTATCTATATTCAAGCCAATAGTTATTCCATTTAGATCAATTCTTATCGTTGTAATACATTAAATATCAATTAAATTTTAGATGTGTATTTGAATTGTTATATTTTTAAATTCATTGTTTAAACCATTTTCTAAATCAAATATATTTTTATATTTTAAGATAGAATATTGAAAATGAATATGGTAAAACATCAGCTTTATAATTATTGATTCACTCTAATGTTTTTGATTTTAAATTCCCTTGTTGGTTTTAATTTTTTACTTATCTCAATAGATCATATTTAAGAAATATCTAGGAATGATAAATTCCAACTTAATTTTCTCCCTCTCTACTATTAAGTATTTTAAATTTTTTACTCTTTAATATGTTTTACTACACATTTTAATAGACGTTTTTGAATTATGATTATTTTGTTTTATAATTCAATCTATAATCTTTACAAAAGGATGCGCTCACAAGACCCTTTGTTGTCCTTTTCTAATAATATTTAGATTTCTGCTTTTAAATCGTTTAGTATCTTTAAACTAATTGGTTTATTAACTAAATTTCCTATTTTTTAACAAATTTCAAGAATCCTAAAAAGGACCTTTTATTTAAAAGAAGCTTAAATAGCATTATTAAGTTATTGTTAAGTTATTAAAATGATTTATTATAGATTTTCATTATTTGATGACACAAAACGACCTATTTGTTTAGGCGAATAAACTCCTTTCATTTAATTTAATTAATCAATTAATTTGAAACAATTATATACATAGAAATCAAAATAAAATTCCATTAGATATTCTTCAATATCATTCTATTGGTTTTACTATATTTGAGTAAAAAATTTTGTATAAAAATTATAATATACAAATTAATAATTATTTAATAAATGTATTTTTAATTATTATCATTATTAAAACTATTGTTAAGATAATTATTTCCAAAAGAAAAAATAAAAATTTCTTGAAAGATTAAACCTCATTGATTTTTATTAAACTATCTTTCAACTTAAATTTGATTTGCCTCAATATTTTTGTGAAGCGCATCTAAAATTAAGCTTCTTTTATCGATTCCAAAATTCATCAATATTTTAAGCAATATTTTTTTAAGTTAATTTAATAAAGCCGATTTCCTATACTGTTTTATAAAATATTTTGCTTAACTTTTTCTCATTTATTAATACTTATTACTTTATGAAAAAAATGAAATATGATATCAGACTCTCTTTGTCTTATTAATTAAAAAACTACTGCAATTTCAGCTAAAACTATTTAATACGAAAATTCAGATCTGATTCTAGATTTTATTAAAGTAGATTTTGGAAATTAATCTAATTATAATTTTAAATAAAAAATATAAAAATATTAAGATTAATCACAAATCAAATGGATCAAATTACACTTATTAAATGCTTGGTAACCACTAGTATTAAAGTGGTTAACATGGGGTTCCATCACCTTATTTAAATGTAACTGATAACTTTTTCTTGTCTTGAATAATTTTTTGATTTTACCTATTAAATGACCATCCATAGCTTCTTTTGCTTTTTATGCGCTCTCTTATTTATCAAAACTCACAAAACCAAAACCTTTACTTTTACCAGTTTTTGGATCAGTCATAACTCTAGCTGAAATCACATTGCCATATGATGAAAACAAGTCCATAAGATCAGAATCCTTATGTTCATTTGGTAAATGAAAAACAAATAAATTAGCCCCAGGTGGCCCTGTTTTTTTAGAATTGAAAGTTGCCAGATCATTCAAATATTTTTCTTTAGTAATTATTTCTTTGCTGCCGTCTGGTGAATATATAATTGAACCAAAGCTCACACTATTTAAATGAATATAAATAAAAACCTCCTCACTATTTCTCCAGTTTCCCAATGAATATATATTGGTTTCTTCTTCTGATCTAACCATCTTGTATATGATTTAGTCTACAATTTATAATATCATATACAATATCTCTAATTGGATCTCCTTCTTCATTTGCAGGAGTTTCAGGATATTATGACTTAGCAATAGTTGCAGGTTAACCCAAAAATCTAACATCTAATGGGCGATCGCTTAATTTATAACTTTATGAGTATTACCCTAACTAATTCTTATTATGATTATTTTTTATTGCCAATAAGCAGCTTTCCTTAAAAGTATATGATACTATGGCACTGATTGATGATTATCCTTAATTCTAAATCTAAACGTCGGTGACTTGACCATATTTCATAAATATTTCTTTGATCATTGCTTCTTCGCAGTCTTTCTATAGGCCATCAATTTATATTTTAGGAGAAGTTTCTTCTGCTACTCCTAACCTTTCTTTTTCACCTTCAGCCCATTTAAGTACCAGAGGTTGCATTCCATCTACAGCCACTTCTTTCAATTATTTTGTGGCTTTTTCTCCTTCTTGCATTTTATTGAATTTGACAATTGCAATTCCTTTAGATTTTACTTGAATCAGATTAATTTAATACGATCTTCTTTTTTTAACATCTGCACATCAGATACTGTATATCCTTAACTTGATAGAAAATGCTTCAATTTTAATTCATCCCATGCTGCAGGAATCTAAGATATCTATAGTTTTAGATAGAGTGGTTATTCTGTTGGAACAAAAGTAGGAACATATGACATTGTGAAGATTAGTATTAAATTATTTTAAATAAATAGTATAAGAAAAAAAATTTTAAGAATAATTATCAAACATAGATTTGAAAATTAAAGATTACCAAGAGAATTTAGGAATGTTGAAGTAAGGGATGCAATGATAGAGAAGGCAACTTTGTATAAAAAGCAAAAAAATTTGAAGATGAATAATCGAATGATAATTACTTTAGCCATCAAAGCTTACATTGAAACCTTATCCAAATCTGTTAGAATTGGCAAAAATGGATGCTTATTTTCTTATATTCTAAATCATTTAAAATAAAGGAATCTTGAAAAACTTAAGATCATTTGAATTAATAATAGGCAGTACAAAATTAGGGTGGCGATTGGGAGAGAAAGAATAAGCTCAAAATATATGAAAGAATATATTGTCTAACGATTAGAGACATCTAAAAGCTTGCAAATTATTTTTAGAATCTTTTCAATTGTTAATTCATCAGAAATTATCTCTTATGAAAAATCATAAATTATAATAGTATAATATACTAAGTTCTCTGACTCTGTTCAATAGCAATAAATTCTAACACACATTTAAAAATTTATAGTTCTCGATTCATTTTTCTTAATAATTTATTTAATATCTAATTATTATAATTACTGATTGTTCTAATGAAATTTTCATGCTAATAGGTAAAAAAATAACTCAATTTTTTTGATTGAAATATAAATATAAAATTAAAACTTCCTAGTTTACCTAAGAATTTTTTAATGCATCCATCTTAGTAGTTTAAAAGATCTGATAATTCCTGAAAAAATTATTCAAGTATTTCAAAGAGCCTTTTCCTAAATTACTAAATACACATCCATAATTATTTTTGAAAAGTAATTATATGGCAGCAAAACTAGAAAATTAACTTAAAATACTAAAAATTCTATTTTACTTTTATATATTGTATGATTAAAATTATTTCTAACTAATGTCGAAGTTTTAAATTATATAGATTTATAATTATATTGAATTGACTTTATTATAGAAACTACTCATTACATTATTTTTGATTTATTATAATTAGTATTAATTATATGTAAACATTAACCATTCATAATTCGAATTATTTACTTACAGATTTACCTATTCAATGATAAGTTGAATCATTCTTTAATTTTTTAATTTCCTTATAGATTTTATCTAGAATAAAAAAGTCAGTTAATTTAATAAATTAAATGTTAATATGGAAATATTACAAGAGGATATCTTTATTATTATTATATAATTTATTTAATTCATGGATCAATAGCAAGATTTAAAAGAATTAATTTAGCTGTATAACAGTGCCGCATAACTGAAGCGGAAAGCAGAAAAAAAATTAATCAGATTCACTGATTGTTTAACAGAGGAGGATAAAATTACGTGTGGAATTGATTTAATCGATGAAATTAACACAATCAGATAAAAAATAAAACAAGAAAGGAGAGAGAAAGCTGATAATAGTGTGAGAAATTCTTACATATCTCTTTAAAATACAATGTCTGAAAATAATCTTACCCTAAGAAAATAACTAAATGAAAAATCAATAAGTAGTTTTTATTGTTATAATAATAAGTGCTTGAATAAGAAAAAATAAATTTTCGAGAATAAATTGAAGCATCTTAATCTTAGTTGAACAAGCTTAAAGAAGAGTTAGAGATCTTGAGAGACAGTAATTAAATAAATAATTATTTTAGGCAATTTGGATGAGATTAATTAATTAATCTTGAAAAACTAATAATTAGATGAGATGATCAATTAATTAAATACGGAACTTATCTAAACTTAAAACAGTATTTTTTTTGATTATTTTGAAAGGGTTATAAATGTATAAAGATGAAGAAGAAAGGAAAAAGTCGTTTTACTCCTTAATCGAAAACCTTAAAACTGGTATTTTATAAAAATTGATTAATAGCTATTATAAATAATTATGACAATATAGTTCCAACTCTTAAAGATGCAGCAGCTCCAATTGAGAATCCAAATAAATTGGAAAAATAGGATATTATCTAAGATGATAAACCATTAAACTAAGAAAATTTGATATAAAATAAAATGAAGTAACTTTATCAGATCTTAAGTGATAAATAAAAAAACTTGCATTAACAAGCTGAAGAATAATTTATTTAAATTGAAAATGGGATAACGAATATGGAAGAATTTCTTGATAGAATCATTGACTAAGAAGAATCAATTAAAGAAAAAAACAAATTTCGCAGTTTAGGAACAAGTTAAGACCTCACAAATCATTAATATTTTGAGGATAATGAACAACAACAGTTGTAAAATCAACTAGGATAGTAAATATAAAGTAAAAAATAATTTTATAATTAAGATTTTAAATAAAACTTGTAAGAATTGAAAGAAGCAAATCGAATGCTCCTAAAAAATCACAAACAAAATTAAAAAAGAGTTACTACTCCTTTAGTTTGTAATAATAATTTAATTAATTATAGAATTGGGATAAAATTTTGAAACATTGGCTAACCAACTACAATAGATATATGAAAAAAGAGATGAACATGAAGAGGGCTTATAAGCCTAAATTGATTTTTTAGGTAAAATTTAATGATCATTTTTAGATAATGTAGTAGATTAAATTAAAATTTAAAAAAAAAAACCTTAAAATGATGATGATAAAGAAAATTTTAATGACTGTAATAATGAACCAGACAACAATTAATTAATTTAAGATTAAATTAAAAATGAAGATTAGATTATCCCTTTTCAAAAAGATAATAAAAAATCTGATGAAAAAATATTAAATTTTGAAATGCAAAAAAATTAAGAAAATAACGCATTATTAGATTTAAGTTAATAGCTATAAGATTTAGAATAATAAAATTTTAATTTGAAAATTGATGTTGAAGACAAAAATTAATAATTGAAGAATTAAAGAGAGATAATTTTATAACTCTAAAATTAGGTAAAAGATCAGGCTTTAATAAATTCAAATCAAAATGACGAAATCAAAATAAGGGATAAATAGCTATTATTTTTATCAAATAGATTATAACAAATTGAAGAGGTAAGAAGTTAATAAGATCCTTAAACGTTGAACGAATTAAAAAAATACATTCATGAATTAGAAGAATTAAATTAAGAATTGCTTAATGAAATAGAATAGTTGAAATAGAGTATTGAAGAGCTTTAAAATGAGACTTACAATAAAAATGATGAGATTCCTATAAACTAAAAGAAAAGTGATAAGTTATCTAATAAAGACGATGATAATTAAAAAAATGATATTGAAATTGAGAGGAAAAATGATTAGAATAACAAAAATGATGATTAATAAGGTGAAAATATATAGAATTTTGAAATCAAGTAATAAGAAAATCTTTTTAATTAATTTGATGAAATAAAACTCAATACTAATTAATTATCTGAGAAGAGTGATTTAGATGAAAAAGAATAATCTAATTTTTTTAAAGATTAATAATAAAAAATGGAATTGGATAAAAAAGTATAATGTAGAATGATTAATGAATAAAATGATTTGTGCTAAAACATAGGAGAAAACTTAACAAAATAAAAAGTAAATTCATTACAAAATGATGATTAGCAAACTTCGGAAAATGATTAATACAATAAAAAGATATTATATGATTAACAAGATTTTGAGGTTAACTAGAACTCAAAAAAATTAGATGAAAAAGTTTCAAATTTACAAAAAGATATGGTAGTTGTACATTAATTTGAATAGGAAAAAGAAGATATAAAAAATATATTAAAAAACTATTCCTTAAAAAATGAAGAAAAAGAATCTTAAAAATAATGCGAAGAAAATTAAAATCCTTTAAATTAGTAAGCTTTAAGCGTATAATAAGAATATGTATCATAAAAAGAAATTAATTCAGTAAAGATTGATAAAGTTTACAATTATGAAGAGAATGAAAAAAAGAGAAAATGTAATGAATAAGAATAAGGATAAATAAACACTGAATATGAATAAAAATTAAATCAATTTAATGAGTAAGTACAAAACTTAGAATCAATTAAATAAGAGTAAGAATAAAATATCAATCCATTAAATTTGAAAGTTTAGGATTTAGAATAAACTAAATAAGAATAAGAATAAATCGAATCTGAATACGAATAAAATATCAATCAGTTGAATGAATAAGTTCAAAACTTAGAATAAAACAAATAAGAATTAGAAGAGATCAAATCTGAATAAGAATAAAATATCAATTAATCGAATGAATAAGTTCAAAACTTAGAATAAAACAAATAAGAATTAGAATAGATCAAATCTGAATAAGAATAAAATATCAATTAATTGAATGAATAAGTTTAGAACTTAGAATCAATTAAATAAGAAAAAGAGTAAAATATCAATTAATTGAATGAATAAGTTTAGAACTTAGAATCAATTAAATAAGAATAAGAATAAAATATCAATTAATTGAATGAATAAGTTTAGAACTTAGAATCAATTAAATAAGAATAAGAATAAAATATCAATTAATTGAATGAATAAGTTTAGAACTTAGAATCAATTAAATAAGAATAAGAATAAAATATCAATTAATTGAATGAATAAGTTTAGAACTTAGAATCAATTAAATAAGAATAAGAATAAAATATCAATTAATTGAATGAATAAGTTTAGAACTTAGAATCAATTAAATAAGAATAAGAATAAAATATCAATTAATTGAATGAATAAGTTTAGAACTTAGAATCAATTAAATAAGAATAAGAATAAAATATCAATTAATTGAATGAATAAGTTTAGAACTTAGAATCAATTAAATAAGAATAAGAATAAAATATCAATTAATTGAATGAATAAGTTTAGAACTTAGAATCAATTAAATAAGAATAAGAATAAAATATCAATTAATTGAATGAATAAGTTTAGAACTTAGAATCAATTAAATAAGAATAAGAATAAAATATCAATTAATTGAATGAATAAGTTTAGAACTTAGAATCAATTAAATAAGAATAAGAATAAAATATCAATTAATTGAATGAATAAGTTTAGAACTTAGAATCAATTAAATAAGAATAAGAATAAAATATCAATTAATTGAATGAATAAGTTTAGAACTTAGAATCAATTAAATAAGAATTAGAATAAAATATCAATCAGTTGAATGAATAAGTTCAGAACTTAGAATCAATTAAATAAGAATAAGAATAAAATATCAATTAATTGAATGAGAAAGTTTAGAACTTAGAATAAAACAAATAAGAATTAGAATAGATCAAATCTGAATAAGAATAAAATATCAATTAATTGAATGAATAAGTTCAGAACTTAGAATCAATTAAATAAGAATAAGAATAAAATATCAATTAATTGAATGAATAAGTTCAGAACTTAGAATCAATTAAATAAGAATAAGAATAAAATATCAATTAATTGAATGAATAAGTTCAGAACTTAGAATAAAACAAATAAGAATTAGAATAGATCAAATCTGAATAAGAATAAAATATCAATTAATTGAATGAATAAGTTCAGAACTTAGAATCAATTAAATAAGAATAAGAATAAAATATCAATTAATTGAATGAATAAGTTCAGAACTTAGAATAAAATAAATAAGAATAAGAATAAAATATCAATTAATTGAATGAATAAGTTCAAAACTTAGAATAAAACAAATAAGAATTAGAATAGATCAAATCTGAATAAGAATAAAATATCAATTAATTGAATGAATAAGTTCAAAACTTAGAATAAAACAAATAAGAATTAGAATAGATCAAATCTGAATAAGAATAAAATATCAATTAATTGAATGAATAAGTTCAAAACTTAGAATAAAACAAATAAGAATTAGAATAGATCAAATCTGAATAAGAATAAAATATCAATTAATTGAATGAATAAGTTCAAAACTTAGAATAAAACAAATAAGAATTAGAATAGATCAAATCTGAATAAGAATAAAATATCAATTAATTGAATGAATAAGTTCAAAACTTAGAATAAAACAAATAAGAATTAGAATAGATCAAATCTGAATAAGAATAAAATATCAATTAATTGAATGAATAAGTTCAAAACTTAGAATAAAACAAATAAGAATTAGAATAGATCAAATCTGAATAAGAATAAAATATCAATTAATTGAATGAATAAGTTCAAAACTTAGAATAAAACAAATAAGAATTAGAATAGATCAAATCTGAATAAGAATAAAATATCAATTAATTGAATGAATAAGTTCAAAACTTAGAATAAAACAAATAAGAATTAGAATAGATCAAATCTGAATAAGAATAAAATATCAATTAATTGAATGAATAAGTTCAAAACTTAGAATAAAACAAATAAGAATTAGAATAGATCAAATCTGAATAAGAATAAAATATCAATTAATTGAATGAATAAGTTCAAAACTTAGAATAAAACAAATAAGAATTAGAATAGATCAAATCTGAATAAGAATAAAATATCAATTAATTGAATGAATAAGTTCAAAACTTAGAATAAAACAAATAAGAATTAGAATAGATCAAATCTGAATAAGAATAAAATATCAATTAATTGAATGAATAAGTTCAAAACTTAGAATAAAACAAATAAGAATTAGAATAGATCAAATCTGAATAAGAATAAAATATCAATTAATTGAATGAATAAGTTCAAAACTTAGAATAAAACAAATAAGAATTAGAATAGATCAAATCTGAATAAGAATAAAATATCAATTAATTGAATGAATAAGTTCAAAACTTAGAATAAAACAAATAAGAATTAGAATAGATCAAATCTGAATAAGAATAAAATATCAATTAATTGAATGAATAAGTTCAAAACTTAGAATAAAACAAATAAGAATTAGAATAGATCAAATCTGAATAAGAATAAAATATCAATTAATTGAATGAATAAGTTCAAAACTTAGAATAAAACAAATAAGAATTAGAATAGATCAAATCTGAATAAGAATAAAATATCAATTAATTGAATGAGAAAGTTTAACATTTGGAATATAATTTATAAGATTTAGAATATATCAATAATAATTTAAAAGAATCTTAAAATCTTCTCAAAGATAAATACTTTATTTTAGAAACTTAATAAACATAATTTGTCTAAGAAAAAATACATCAAGACTATATTATCAATTAATTAAATGAAAGTCTTAATCACTTAAATTAATATAAATAATAAACGTAATAAAATTTCAATTAAATACTTTAACATGCTAATCAATCTTTTACTATCTTATCATAACTTTAACATCTATTTAGTAATGCCAATGAACTAATGATAGAAAAAGGCTTTATGAGCTTAGACTTACGAGAAGCCGAATAACTATGTTCATCATAAAATACGTTTTTATTAAGTATCATTTATTTATAATTAGATCTAATTTAAATACTTTCCCCAAATTTTGATCCTCATTAATAAATCGTTTTTCATGATCGAAAATCATAATCAATTAATTCGGATTAAGATTTATATTTAACTTATACTTACAATGATTCATAAAATAAAAATACTATAAATTAGAATTAATTATAGAATCCATCTTGTGTTACTAATTAAAATATGCTAGAAATTGATCCACCCATCACCTAGTTTAAGGAAAAAATTGAAAAATTGTAAAATCGTATAGATTTTCTTAATGAAACTTTAATAAGTACTAAATAGCAGAATACAAAGTTGACAAAAGATTTTATTGATTTGATCTTAGCTCATGATAAAATCATTTTAAGTACTTTTATATATTCTAAGTTAGGTCTTTAAACTGAATAATCATAATCACAAAATTTAGAAGTTAATAATATCATAACAGAATAATAAGAGATATTCTAAAATATATTAATATCCGATTAAAAAAATACAATAGAATAGACCAACCCTGAAGAACTGAAAAGAGTAATCAAAGATCAATAGTTGCAGTTAGATTAAATGAGTCATAGAGCACAATAAAAGATTTAACATCTTTAACAACAAATAAATTTACTTTCATTAGACCTAAAATAGTAACAGAAACTTCGACCAGTTATTAATGTTAATGATACACTTTTGGAAAAAATAACGTCATTAGAAAGTAATTTTTTAGATCATAATAATTAGATTTTAATGATTAAATGAGGTAAATCATAACTTCAAATACAAATGAAATTTAGAACCTTAATGATTAGATCTAACAAAAGAACCGATGTATAGAATTTTAATATTTAGATTTTAATAATGAGCAAGAATTGTATAAAAGGTCATTAGAATAATTGCAAAAATCATAATTATCCTACATTAATCAGATAGAGGATATGACATAAGAGATAATTAGTATATTAATTAAAATATAGTAGAAAAAAATACGGAGATAAGTTAGTTACAAGAAGAAATTTAGACTTTATTATTAAAAAACTAGAGATTGAGTGAGCAACAAGAACTTAATAACTATTATGAAGAATAAATGAAAAGTATAGTTATAAATAAATTAGTACTTCAAAAATAATTAGAAAAATCAAAATAAAATATTTAATAATATTCCTAAGTTAACTCTCCATAAGTCGATAATAAATCAATCTTTGGAGATGATGATAAATATAAAAAGTTAATAAATAGTTTGAATGAAGAGATAAAATTAAGCAAACTTTAGGTTTCATAATTTTCAACATCCATCTCTTATTTAAAGTAGGCTTAAAAGGAAATTTCTAATAGATTGAGAAGAATTTTGAATATTCCATTTGATTAAAAAGCTGATCTTTAAGAAATGCTTAATTAAATAGAAGAATAATTCGATATGATATCTTAATTATAACCTAAGAAAAAATTAATTGGTTTTTCTGATACAACAAAGTACTTATTAGGAAAAACTCCAAAAGGATCGAACGAAACAGAATCTAAAAAAAAGATGCCCGAAAATATGGTTTAGTCAAAGGATAAAGAAATTAATTAAGAAGAAATGTAAATATAAAGTTATATCATATCAGTTCGGTTGATCTAGATTAAATTTTGAATGAAGAAGACTCGGAATAGGAAAATTAATAAAATATTTAAATAACTTAATTTGAATATGAAAAATAAGTTAATTCCATACTACAAGAGGAGGATGATATAGAAAAAAGTAGATAAATAAGTCTATCAAAAAATGATGATGAAGTAAATGATGATAAATAAGGATAAACAGAGAAAAATGAGGAATTTTAAGAACTTAAAGAAGAAATTCCTGAATTAGAAATAGCATATGCAAATAATTAGAAATTAATGATATAGTAACAACAGGAACATTAAGAATCAATTTAAAATTTACAAGAATTGATAGAAAGTAAGTTATTATTTATAATAGACTTATAATAAATAATTTAGTAATAAAACTTAAAATTAATAAGCCAAGAAGCTTAATTAGAAAATAATTTTAAAAACCTAAAATAACAATAAGATATAATTGCTTGTTTCTAAAATTAATTAGAGTTAGCCAAAAAAGACTTGAAATTGTCAAGTCCAGAATTTAGAGAAAATTAAAAAGAGTATGATTCATCTAATGATTTAAAAAATGCAATTCTACAATTAGAATAAGAAAAATTCGAGCTTGCTGCTTAATTAAACGAAGAAATCACAAGAAATAAGGAATAAAAGGAATAATTTTTTGAATCAATCTCAATAAGAGATAATATTATTTAATGTAAAAGAATTATATTATTTTAGATTTGTAAACACAATTAGCAATAAAATCTTCAGATTATGAACCTAAAACATCTGAAAGAAGTTTAAATTTATAAAATTAATATGAATCTAGTTAGGATAACTAATAATCAAATATCGACGAAAGAAGTAAATTTTTTTTTAAAGGTAGTGTTAACTCATGAGGAAGCAAGATTTGTTAGATCAATTCAAGAGTAAGAAAATGAAATTGATGAAAATTAAAGCATTTAATAATAGCAGATTCCCCGCCTGTAACTTTAGACTTAGCAACTAAGAATTAGAAATCCAAGACCAACAAGATGTTTGAGAAGCAGTGGATCATAAGATCATTATTAAAGTATATATTTCATTTAAAATAGATAATTAAATAAAATTAGATCAAATAGAAGAAGATTATTAAGAGCAAATTAAATTTTTAATTAATGAAAAATATTAAATGAAGGAATGCTTATAAAAGGATATTGAAAGCAAAGAAGAAGAAATAGAAGAAATGAAGATGGAATTAGATAACTTATAATAAAGGTTAATCGCTCTTGATATAGCTAATAATGATAAATAAAAGGAATTAGAATAATTAAATCAATAATTGAGAAAATTAGAAAACTAAAATTAAAGTACTTTTATATTCAATCTTATAGGTCTCAAAAATCATAATAATAATATTGAAAGTCAACTTAATTCATAGCTACAATCATTTGAAGAATAAAGGAAAGTTGTTGAAACCACTCACAGAACAAATGATGAAATTTAGAAAAAATACGACATATTACTACAGAAATATTTGAGTATATATTTATATGATTAAATTTAGAATTGGAAGATGATCATAATAAACTACTTGAATAATAAGAAAATGATTTAGCTAAAATAAACTTTTATAATGAATCCTTAAAAAATATGCAAGATTAGGTAGAAAAGTCAAAGGAAAGAATTTGTAAGACTTTACTTTAGTCACCAAGTGGTGATAGAGATCAAAATGAAGAAAATAAATTTAAATAGCAGATAAATCGACTTAATGATGAGTTAAGAATAAGTAAATTATAGGTAGCTCAATTTTCTGCAACTAATCTACAATTAAAATAAAAGCATTAAGAATTAGTTGTTAGACTTCAATAACTATTTAAATTATAATTTTAAGAAAATGATGATGCTGCATAAATAATCCATTAAATTGAGTAGTATATTTAGGTTATGGATCAAAATAGTCCTGTTAAAGTTTAGAAAAAATTAGGAATGAATGATGCTACTCGATTTTTATTAAATAGGTCAAGTAAATCACGATCCTCTTAAGGTTCAAATAGGCCTTCTTTATAATAATAAAATTAAATACCTTCAAGGGAAAGTCCGCAGAAGACAGATAATTTAATGTATTTTTATATTATAATTTATAGTGAACTTGATAAAATACTTGATGAATCAGATTTTGAAAAAGAGATTTCCTAATAGTAAAATTTCTTTTTTGATAATAATTGATACCAATAAGAGTAAATGACATATTAACTTATATTATATATTCTAATTATAAATTATTTCTATTGATAAACCTCATAAAAGGTTTCTTTTTATAATAATTGTTTAAAAATTAGTAGCAGAGAATTACTATTAGTGTATTTATATTGACAATATTTATCTTGATTATCAATCATATTCTCTCAAAATAGGATTTCTTATTTCTAAAATTATAATATCTATTCATTTATATAACTCAATAATAAAATTTAAAGGCTCTCTTAAATTTTAGTGAAGCAAATGGTTAACTCAATACTATATGATGAATTTAATTTAACAATAAAAAATATATATAACGAAAATTCAAAAGTAAAATGAAAGGAAAATTAGTACAATCTTTAATCAATCTATTTCCAAATCAACATCAGGAAACATTAATCTAATGTGTGTTTATAATAGGATTTGATAAGCTTATAAAAAAGGGTTTTCTTTTAAATGGCAAACCTAAACTTCAAGAAATAATAGATTATTCAAGTAAACTTAATTTTTCAATGTAGTTAAATTGTAAAAAAGTGGAAGATTAGACTTTGTTTAATAACCTTGTGATGTAAGACAAGAGTTGGATCATTTAAAAGATGAAATAAGTAAGTTGACATAGTAAATATAATATAATAACTCGATGATGTAAACATTTTTTCATATATGTTAGTCAAAAGCAAACCCAAAGAAGCCAAGATAGGCTAATATTATAGAATGTTTCACCCTAATATGATGAAAGAAAAAGGTCTGTATCAGTTGGATATAAATAATAATAGCAATAATTCATTTAAAAGAAAACTAAAGAAATAACTCCAAAAATTACAGAAACAATACCATAGACAATCAATTAAATCAACATCACAATTTCCAAACATCATTTAGATGATACAGAAATAAAGTCTATAATGAGAGATAATTAAATAAAAGAAAAACCTCCTAAGCCAAATAAAGTGAATTAGGATCAGGTTTTCAAAAAAAATAATCAGATTGAATATTAGCGTATAGATACAGAAGAACATCCAACATATGAAGATATTGACAGTGTGCCTGTGAAAGAATATTACATTCCTTAAGTCCTTTAATATTCAAATCTCTAAAATAGTTAAATGTCCTAATTATAACAACAATCATAGTCTAACCAATTTTAGTAATAAACATTTAACTAATTGCCATCAACTTAGATTTAATAACTATAATAATCATAAATGTCATATTAGTCAAATACAAAATAAAGTGATCACTAATCCCATAATACAAATTAAACGTTTGCATAGCCTTAGTCAAGCTAAAAGCATTTAGTTTAACCTTCAAAATCTCCAAATAGTTAGTCTAAATCTCCAAGTAAATCTCCAAAATTTAAGTAATAAAAAAAGCAAAACTGTAAAAAAAATTTAGAGACCGTGCATGAAGAAAGTTTTGCATAAGTTAAACATTAAAGTAGCCATTCAGCCTCATCAAAAGGAAGGGGATCCTATCGATAATAAAAGTTTTAATAAAATAATTAAGCTGTATCTAAGATTAAAGCCTTGCTGGATTAAGATAAGAAAATATACAAATAACATTTAGTTGATGTTGCAAGTGAAAGAAGATCATTTATCAATTCTTCTGATAAAATGAAAAGAATTTAAGAAGAAATAATAACTGACTAAAGCCAAGCAAAATATTAAGATATTAGCGACTCAGTGAATAAAAGAACTTTTTCAAATAATAGTTTTTATAAATAGTAATAGAATCAGTAAATCTCACCTTAATTAGATTCAGAATCTAAATGTTAAGGTTTAGATCCATTAAATCAGTTTTAAGGGTCAAATTCAATGACAAATTCGAATCGTGTTGGCAATTTCACAGCAAATCCTCAATAATAAGATAATCTACCAATTTATGGTAAATATAAATAATAGATACTTGATTAATTTTCTCCTAAATTAAAATATTAAGCAAGACCATAAAGTGTAGGTAAATAATTGGAGAGTGACTTCAAAAGATCGAATGATTTCAATAGAAGTTCAGTTAGTAGTACATTTTCAATGTTTAATCCTAATGAAGAGTTGAAGACATTTTTTTAGAATGACTTTTTAGAGAGGAAACGATATTTCCCTTAAGGGTATAGTGATCTGACAAAATAAGTATTTTAATTTATTTAATAAATAGTCATCTTTAAATTCCTCGCAAGATCATAATTAACATTAAAGTAAATATATTAGTTCAAGTCAAATTGAGGAACAGCAAAACTATAGTAAGAACTTATTCAGTCCTCAATAATATTAAAATGTTGATAAGTCTAATGTCTTCAATAATAATAGGCTTAGCGTAACTAGAATACTAAATAATTCATAAATATGAAAATATATTCGTTTTTAATTCTAAATGAAATTATTATTGCTTACTTTTTTAGTTGTTTCTTAATCTTAATGGATTAATACATATGAGGCATTTGTAGAGGACTCATTAACAACTTTAGATGGTAAATTAAAGTTAAAATTTATTTAGGTTGGGTAATTTAAAATTAATTCTAAGCAACTTCTGATATTATAACTAAATGCAATGAGAAAACTATTATAGGAGGATTAAAAACATTTGGTTTAAAGACTACTGCAACAAAATTTATTAAATTGCCTCCTCATTATAAATTGAAGTTTAATATCCAACTTTGGAAGTATAAAATCAACTTGAAATAGATTAGGTGAATGGGAGAAGGAAGTATTTTCAATATACATAGATGGTGTTCCTTGGGAAATGAAATGGGGATTCACTGAGGGAGGAATTAGACTATGTGGAGGTCCTGAATCTAAGCATAGTGATAAGATTTTTGATATAGAATTTGAGATTGCCCATAATTCTCCTACTGTGACAATCATATTAGCAACAAATTAATAAGGATAAGCTGATATTTAGGCTTGGGGATTTAGATAAGTTAAAGTGTCATTTTTTGCTTGTCCTTCTGAATGTGGAATTTGTCATAATGATAAAGCTGAAGATTGCAAAAATTGGAATTAAGAAGCTTTAAGCTGGTTTCATATAGATACAAAACTAGAAGGATGGTAATTGGAGAATGGTAAGGATAAGGGCTATGAATGTTCAGGCATAGTTATATTTGGAGGATATGAAAACGTTGGTGCTAAATCAACGTTATCAAATTCTTTTATAAGCATAGCTCCTCATTATAAAATAATGATTAAATTTACATTTTGGAAAGTAATTTAAATATATAATAATAAAGATTGATCTTTGGGACAATGATGAATTTTATATAAAAATTGATGATAAAGAAGTAAGGAAAATAGCATTTTAAACAACTGATGGGATAGAATTATGCGGAGTGTATCATATATGATTTGTAATTTAATAGAAAATCCAATAATCCAGGATATGGAGAGAAGATTGTTGCAATTGAAGTTATTTAAAAACATTCAGAGCCAACTTTAAAAATCTCATTTTCATCTTCATTATCTAAGGATTTAAATTAATAATCTTGGGGTATTAGAGATTTCTTTTTATTTGCTGCATAATGCACAAAATTTTGTGATGAATGTGTAGGCAATGCTGAAAATGAATGTACAAAATGTCATTCTACTCATACTTTATCAAATGGAAAATGTTTGAATAAAAATGAATGGTATGTAGCATCTAAAGAATTTTTTGAAGAGGAATCATTTAAAAAAGTAGAAGGATGGAATTTTTAAGAACTTGATTCTGTTAGTCCAAATCCTCCGATTACAAAATGTTCTGATTTAAATCTAATTGGAGGATACTAATCCTTTGGAAAGGTATTCATAAAATTTATTGAAGAAAACAACAGTATCAAAAAAGTTTATTTTGCCAAAGCATGACTATATTAGAGTTAAAATTATTATCTACAAAATTGATAATTGGGATGGAGAGGAATTAACTATATTTATTGATAATAATGAACTATGGACACAATTTCTAGGTTGGAATGATCCTGCTTAAAGTGACATTTGCGGAAATAAAAGTAATAATTGGAAAGAAAGAATAATGAAAGTTGATAAGATATTAACTCACAGTTCTGCAGAATTGTAACTTGACTTCAGAAGTACTCTTTAAAAAGAAGCCAATGAAGCCTCATGGGGTTTTAGAGAATTTTAGCTTTTATATTCTCCATTAAATGAGTGTATTGAAGTATTCAGTGAATGCAATTACAAAGGATTGTAAGAAAGAATTTGTGAAAACACAGAGTCATTAACTTAATCAAAAATATAATTTGATATAAAGTCTATTAAAATCCCAGAAGGTATGAAAATAACAGGATACAGAAATCTCGGTTTCAAAGGGGACAAGGTTGAATATGAAACAAATTAAGAATGCCTTGATACCATAGAATTCTCATTTATTGAAAAATAACTGATTGGGAATATGAAATATATTCATAAATGATAAAATGAATTATAAAATCATAATTAATATAAATTATTAATAATTTCTTCAACAGATTTAAGTTATATAATTGATATATATAAAAAGTTAAATAAATTTCAATATCTATGAGTTATTGTTGTAAAAATAGTGTCTAGCTTTTCACATTTGTCATGGCGTATTTAATGCAATCTTTTTTTATTGAAAAAATGAGTAGATCTATCATAGAAAGGTATAATAGAATCAAATTTTTATTTAAGAATTTCATTTTGAAATGTGTATTATTTAATGCTTCTACCTGTGTTAGGTGAATTTGATAAATGATATTCTTGTGTTTCTTTATGTAATTATAATTATTTTGGATATTTTTCTTTTTAATAAGAATGATTGGCAAACTTTCTTTTCCTTATATATGGTGATTCTTGCATATTCCATAAAGTTCTATCTGTTTTAGAGTTTTACTCTTCTGTAATTAAATCATCTGTTTAAATAAACTTAGAATTTGTTGGTTTAATTTGATCACTTTATAATTTTTAATTGTTAGCTTCTCTTTATTTAAAGTATAAAGTTATGGCCTTTTAATTTACACTAACTGATCCTGTTTTTGACATAATTTCTTAAAAATGTCTAATTGATCGGGAATATGAAAAAATTCTTTTTGGAGGCTCTAAAACTGATTTTATGATCTGATGTTAGTGCTAACATAAATTCTTTGTGTGATTTGGTTTATTTAATAATATTCTGAGTTTATTTCTTCTTTGAGATATTATTTCTTAATCAATGTCTAAAATCATTTAATTATATAATGATCATATTTTATCAGGTTCCTACTAGGAAAATAAAAAATATTTCACAAAAACTAATAATAAAATTAAAAAATGCTAAGTTAAGTGTCTGCTTTACTTTATGTTTACTATAAAGATTAGAATAGTGAGCTCAATTAAGAAAGATTTATTTATTATTGTATAGTGATAGGCATTCTGAATTTTTTGGGATTTTTTCTAAACTCATTTGAATAACACCAAAAATCTAAAGGCAATTCATTGAAAATTGTAGTGGAATTGATTTGTTCAATATTAGGATTGATTTCAATATTATTATACTTCTTTATTTATTTTATGGAATTTTCAATGGCTAGCATGTAAATTTTAATAGGATTGATATTAATTTGGGTGATTGAATGCTCCCTTTATTATGTTTTAAGTGATAAAGGATTATAAAGTATGCTTAGTTTATTTGTAACAACTAATATTTTATTGATTAATGGAGATATTGCATTGAAAGGAATGGGTTAATTTAGTGTAATTATTTATTGTATAATTTAGAATTTATTCGACTATAGTTCAATCAATTTAATTGTGTTATGTGCTCAATTTTCATGGGCAGGAGAACCAACTACAAAGAAAACAAATAGTTTGTTTTACATAATTTCAAGATAAGATTGCTTTAGATTGATGGTGTACTTTCTATTATTCAATATTTTAAATAATACAATTAAAGCAGTAATAGAAAATATTTATGTAATTGTACCTACTTTAGTGACAGTGATTCCATACATATGGGCTACATCTAAATTTAGTCAAAGAAGATATAAATAAGCATTTGGATTATTCCTATTCACTCTTTTAGTTTACTTTCCTATTGATGTATACATAAAATAGTAATAATTACTACAATAAAAAGAATAACCTATCTACCTGTGATTATATTATAGTAAATTATATTATTAATATATATTGAATATCTTATGTAAAAATTCTTATTAATGAGTAGTTGAATCACATTAAATTGATTATAGAAATAATTAATGCTTTGATAATTATTGATTATATAGATATAATATCATATAATGAAAATGTTGAAATTGTAATTAGTAATTTAATAAGTTTAAATCCTTAATGCAACATGCATCCTGACTTGTAATTCACTTCAAATTTTAAGATTGTTTCATAAGAAAATGTTACAATTGACTCAAGGTATCATATCACTACTTCAACCGTAAAACTATACTCTAATCATACAATAATAGATGTAATAATTGAGTCTCCTTTTGATTGTTATACAAATAATCCTTATTTATCATGTCTATATTTTTCTATTAATAGAAATAAAGTGATTTATGAAGATAGAAACAAAATACTAGATAATTTAGTGACTCATAAGACAAGAATAATAGTCAAAAGTTAAATAATTTCATTATAAAATTTAATAGATAGGCAAGAGCTATTATTGTTGATAGTAATAAATTTGCATATAATGTGCAATAATTAATTATTTATTGTAATCAATAGAATGTTAAAAACCCCTTCAGCCTTTTTAATTTTATAAAGTAATTTAATTTTAAAAATATTATTGATGATAAATATTAAGAGAATATTGTCACTAAATATTAAATTAAATAAACTTAATTAAATTAAACATATTATTCAATGATTTTAAATTTATTATACGCAATCATTTATTATTTAAATTTCTTGTTAATATTCACTAATTAATTGCTTATAATTTTTTTATCTCAATTAAATCTCATTATTCAATTAAATAATTAATTATTGACTATTTTAAATTGATTATTGGATTTAATCTATGAGACTCCTCTTTAATTTATATTATTGTAACATAGCTTCATGATCTTCCATTAAAATTTTAATTAAATCATTATTTACTTATTGAATCTTATTTTCATGTAATCTAATAGCAATATCATTCTGAGATTTTTCAGAATTTTATGTATTTAATAATTTAATCTTCTAATCTGAAATACTTGCTCTAAGTTTTTATAATAATCTTGTTGATCTACGAATTAAATCATGATCTGCAAATTTTTCATATGAAATTTATGAAAAAGTTAATGCAATTTATTAATATTATGGTTCTAAATTATTTTATAATTCTTCACCAACCACACTAAAAGTATCTGAATGTTCTTCAATAAAGTTTGATTCTAATTAAATTTTAATATTTTATACATTTTCCTTTTTCTAATAGATCAATTGCTGTATCAATAGAACTTAAAGCTTTATTATAGGAATTTTATTAATTAGTATAAATTTAATCTTCTTTGTTTTACCAATCAATCAATGATTATTTAGAATTTATCATATTCTAAACTTCTTATTTTTTAGAGATAATATCTGTTTCCTAAAATGTAATAGATCTATCCAATCTTCTAATTTCAACTTATAATGTTGCTAATTCTACTTATAGATCATTTATTCTATGTTCATAATATTCAATATCACTCTATTGTCTATTTGTATATATTGTATATGACTTAGTTTCTGATTCAATTTTATCCTAAATATTTAAAGTAATTAATTACTAAAATATTATTTTTTATTTGATTGAGTGCTTGCATTAGTTCATTGGTGTTTGTTTAATCCAATTAAGACAATAATATTATAGATCTACCCATGTTTGATACTCCTAATTAAGTTAACTTAGTTGTTAAGGAGGTTTGTAAACAATTGATTGTTATAGCTAAGAAAAAAATCAGCATATCGTTTTTTTTTATAATTAATATAATACATATTAATTCAAAACTCAATTTTATTTTATTTTATAAAAAACTTTTTTTCATTTTTCCATTTTTTACTATTCGCAGAACTAATTAAATTAGTTTCTTGATGTACATCTTAAGTTTTGAATCTTTCTTGTTCTTTATAAAATTATTAATATTTTCTTTATTGTAATGTATGATTAAAATCGAATCCATTTACTTATGGAGGTCTAGAAGTAAGTGCAATATTTAAATGAAAAAAGAATCCAAAAACTACTCTTATTTATCCAATCAAAAATATGATATATGCAGATGGAACAATAATTGATTCATATTATGATTCAAAATATTGAGAGGATAAATTAAAATAGATTGTTATGCAAATAAATGATGGGAAATAGATTAATAAAGCTAATGTAAATTCAGATATTTATCTACTATTTAATAGAAATTTTTTGACTTAAATTCCAATTTAAGGACAATATTATCTTAATACACTTTCTAATACATAATTCTTTTCACTCATCTTCCAAATATGTGAAAAGAATGTAGCTTAATCTGCATCCAAATTTTTAAATAGATTATACATATTAATATAATTAGTGTAAGTAACAATTATGAATTTTATTATTGTAATTGATGATAAGGCAAATAAAAGTACAAAAAATTTAAATTGTAATTCTGTTTAAATGTTTTATTATTGTAAGAAATTTATAAAACTAGCACAAAATCCTATTACTTCGAATTCAAAATAATAATCAGTTTATATGAAAAACTGCATAAAAAATAAGATTAATTCATGCCTTAAAGGATATTTATACATTTAAGATTATTTTTCTTCAAATGTTCTAATACAATAATCTGGAATTGCCTTTACTCTTATTTTAATTGCAACATACAAACTCAAACCCTATACATAAAGTGTAATAATCAAATAAACTATACTAACTCCTGTAATATAAATATTAAAATTTGTGAAATAGCAAGGGTTTATATCTTTACAATTAATATTAACTTATTTTGGATCTACTTTATGATCAAAGTAGAATCCTATAATGGCACTCAAAAATGCCTAAACAGGAACTGAAAAAAATTAAATAAAACAATAGGTTTTTATTAAGATTTTATTTTGTCTTAAAAATCTATATAATGAACTACTTAACTTAAATTCAGTATATTAATAATAATTTGTATTTATCAATTAAATGATCCATTTTCCATTACTTCCATTTCTTAGAAAATAGTTTTTTAATTTAATTAAAAAACATTATAATATACCATCATCAAAGATATTAATTACTCTTTATTCATTATCTATTTTACCATCTATAAGATTATAATTCATAAATTATTCATTTATCATACTAATATACATATGCATCTTACCAACACTTGTACTATATTTAGTACTACCAGAAAAATCAATAGCTTCCAAATATTAAAAATGAAAGTATTTAGAACCAAACCAAATCAAAAAGTTGTCTGTTAAATTAGAATCTCTTATTATCAAACTTTTCAAATAAAATGGTGTTATTTTTATATTATATTTAATGCTATATTAAATATATTATTCTATTATTTAAAATGCCAATTCTTCTGAAACTTAAGTCCATGTATTATAAATATATAATCCTGGATTTATTCTTAAAAATTCTATTAAATCTTAATTTCCTAAAGCCTTATTATTATCAATTATTAAAATATTAAAATATGTCAATTATTATAAACATCTTTTAGAAAGAATGTTAGAATCTATGCAATTACTATATTAATTATTAAATTCTTACTTAGAAATTATTAACTTTCTTAAATGACTCTTATTTTCTAATATAAAATTAATCAATATATTAAATCCTTTAGATGTAATATTATTTGATGCCAATGATAATTCTTATAATTTTATTTAATTTATTAATAAATCTAATAATATTTCACAATGTTCATCTTCAAATTAACATTCATTAAATATTAGTACTATTATATTTTAAAATATTTAATCTGGTTTAATTCTATTTATTAATTATTTTAAACATCCTAATTAATATTTAACCCTAGATAAATCAAGTTAAACTAAATTACAAAATAGAAATTTTGATTTTTCAGGTAAATTAAAATTTATAAGAAAATCATATTTATATTCAGGTAATACTCTAATTAATGATTACTTTTTAGTTTTAGAAAATTTTAATTTTTATAATAAACAGATATTATTATTAAAAACTTCAAAAAAATTGTAATAACTTTATTAAGTCAAATTATTTCTTGATAATTCAAGTTGTTATATTGTCTTATTTTTATATAAAGATTCTATTAATAATCTACATTTATAATCATCTAATTTTATATTTGATAAATTCAAAGTAATTAAACTATTATTAATAGATATTCCTTCACATAGAATTTCAAACTTTTATTAATTTATTCTATTTTCACTTATATCTAATTCCTAAAGTTATTCAGTCTATTATAATAATTATTTCAAAACTACAAAAAACTCAATAGATAATGTAGATTTCTTAATAATTAAATGTTATAAATTATCTAATGCTTTAATTTTAATCAAAGTTGAAAAGGCATCAAGTATCTCTCTTGATTCAATTAATTAATATTCGAGAATAAAAGATTTTAAACGTTTAGTATATGTCATACCATGAAATAGAGTAAGTAAATAATTTTATGATATAAGAGTATTAGAGACTTCGATTACTTATAATGAATGATTATTTTATTTCATTATCTATTATAAAAATTAATAAGATTCTAATCTACATTATATCTTATTAATTGTTAATGATTTAACTTCCTTATGATCTAATAATGCTGTAAAATTGTTTACATAATCAATTGAATTATTAATACTTATATCTAATATTTTAAATGAAGATATATCTGATATTATATCTGATAATATTAATAAATCATCTGCTGTTAGTTTCAGATTATTTAATATTAATTATGGAAATTATGAATGCATCTTTTATATACAATTTTTAATATTTTAAAGAGTTTTACCATGTATCCAATTATTAGATAAATCTACAATTTATAAATTTCTATTTTTAAATAACAATGGCAATTTCTTAGCTATCATTTCATTTTCATCAATCAAATTATTTCTAATATTTAAATTTCTTAAAGAACAACAATTTTATAATCCATTTATTAGAAATTAGATTGAGTCTTTCAATTTATTATTTGATAAATTAATATTTAATAATGTTGAATTCTTACCAAAAGAACTACTTAATTATTCTAAAGATTATTGATTTAAAGAACCTAAATGATTTTAAGCTATTTATAGAGTAGTTAATGTATATGTTTTTTCAATTAGAATACTCAATTTTTCAATTAAAATAGAGTTATTCAAACCACAAGCATTTAAATTGAGATATTCTATTCTATTATACTATTTACTAAGTGATTCTAATATAGGTAACATTATTTAAGGATTGTAACTGAAATCTAATTCCTTCAAATTAGTACATTTAATTTCAAAACAATCTTATTTACCACTTTATATTTCATTTTCATCATTAAATAATTATGATAAAATTAATGATTTTAATCTAGATTCCTTCATCATTGATATTAAAGCATAAACTAAATCATATCTTAATTGATTATATGAAAGATCTAGATATTATAATTTAATTTATTCATGATTAAAAATATATACTAAAATCCCTTCACCAGTAATTTAATTTTTAGATATAGATAAACTAGTTAGACTTGTATTTTCAATCAATGCATAAATAATTGAAATAAATCCCTTTGTTTTTATTATATTATTAGTCAAATCTAAATACATCCATTTAACTTTATTAGAACTCAACACTTAACTTATTTAATAAGCTCCTTCTGTATTAATTTAATTATTAGAAAGATTTAAATAAAAAACATTTAGAAAAAAGTTATTTGGTATTTCTTCAATTCTATTATAAGATAAATCAACTCTTAATAATTTAAGATTGAGAACTTATTAATTTTAAAATTCTATTATTTGATTATGAGCTAAATGTAACTCTTCTAATTAAATTTTCAATATTATTTATTCCAAAAATTCTGTCTAAGAAATATGATTTCCATTTAAATTCAATGATTTTATTCTTATTTATCTAACTGACATAAATAAACCTTTAGCTAATAATTCTATTCCATCATTTTTTATCTAATTATATGATATATCCAAATTATCCAAATTTAGTTTACCTGTATAATTGAGCATCATACTTGATAAAGCTATAATTCCTTCAGAATTTAAACACATCAAAGATAATTTTAATCGTCTAAATTATTTACTGAATTTTTATACCTCAAAGAACTTAAATGATGAGTTTTATCCATAATTTATGCTAATAAAGAGTTTTGAATGTTACAATGAGATAAATTTATTTCTTATAACTAATTCTTACCACATAAAACATATCTACAAAAATCTTGGACTATTGCAGTTGTAAATGCTTAATTGTTAAACAAATTTAAGATCTTCAATCCTGAATGATCTATTAACTGGTTTATTTATATAATATTTATACTGCTTTAAATATACAGCTTAGTCCAAATGAATTTATCAAACAGCTTCCTAAGTTTAATATTTATATATTTGTGTTTTTTTATATTAAACCACTAATCTCAATTGCATAATATACATTAATGTTACATCCTGATAAATTTACTTCACTAATTAGAACATCAAGACTTACATCACTCGATTATTTATACTCAAAGTGTTGCATAACGTAGTAAAACAAGCTAACGCACCCCGATTTATATGATATGCAGCTTCTTCTTAATTTTTATCCAACTCTCTATTCATTTTCATTATTAGTTTCTTTATCAGCTTTTTAAAGTTAATCTTAGTTGAGGATTGATTTTTAACTAAACTACTCATTAATTAAATATTATCATTATCAATTAATAAATACGAGAATCTGTATAAAATAAGATTGCTTATTATAACAATAATATAAATTGTTTAATAATTCAATATCAAATTTCATATTGCCTCTGAAAAGTGGATAATTCAATTAATTTAGTACTTTTTAGACTATAGCTATTATAAATTCCTACTTTTTAATATATATATATAAATATTCTACTTATAATAATATTATTAAATACTAGATTAACAACTATTATAACAATTTATTCTTTATTAGATAAACAAAAATTAATATAAAATCAATTATTATTCTAAATTAAAGAAATAGAAAATGAATAGAAAAGTCAATATCATTTTATATTTTACCAATTCTTATTTTACTACTTCAGTTAATAATAATTAAAATATAAGTGACTATTGAATTGATGAATAAAATATATAATATGATATCAATAAGTAATTCTACAAAATCAAATTTCAACTTTATTTGAACCATTTTAAATCAAATTCAATTTCACTTTTTTTTATATTTTATCAATCTTACCATAATTATAAGAGTATAATTAGAACTAATTGTTTTTTAAAATCCTTATAAATTTATTTTCAAAATACATTTTCATATTATTATAATATATATAATTAAATTTAATAGTAATATAAACTTAATTATATATCTATGAAAAGTACTTATTTAATCAAAGATGTTATTTATGAAAAGAATCAAGAGAGATAATTTTAATTTCATAAAAACAAATTGAAAGAGATACTTTCATAAGTATTTTATCAAATAATAGTTCTAGCCATTACAATTAAATTCAGATAGGATTATGTAAAAATTAAAGCATAAACATGAATANAAACATATCTACAAAAATCTTGGACTATTGCAGTTGTAAATGCTTAATTGTTAAACAAATTTAAGATCTTCAATCCTGAATGATCTATTAACTGGTTTATTTATATAATATTTATACTGCTTTAAATATACAGCTTAGTCCAAATGAATTTATCAAACAGCTTCCTAAGTTTAATATTTATATATTTGTGTTTTTTTATATTAAACCACTAATCTCAATTGCATAATATACATTAATGTTACATCCTGATAAATTTACTTCACTAATTAGAACATCAAGACTTACATCACTCGATTATTTATACTCAAAGTGTTGCATAACGTAGTAAAACAAGCTAACGCACCCCGATTTATATGATATGCAGCTTCTTCTTAATTTTTATCCAACTCTCTATTCATTTTCATTATTAGTTTCTTTATCAGCTTTTTAAAGTTAATCTTAGTTGAGGATTGATTTTTAACTAAACTACTCATTAATTAAATATTATCATTATCAATTAATAAATACGAGAATCTGTATAAAATAAGATTGCTTATTATAACAATAATATAAATTGTTTAATAATTCAATATCAAATTTCATATTGCCTCTGAAAAGTGGATAATTCAATTAATTTAGTACTTTTTAGACTATAGCTATTATAAATTCCTACTTTTTAATATATATATATAAATATTCTACTTATAATAATATTATTAAATACTAGATTAACAACTATTATAACAATTTATTCTTTATTAGATAAACAAAAATTAATATAAAATCAATTATTATTCTAAATTAAAGAAATAGAAAATGAATAGAAAAGTCAATATCATTTTATATTTTACCAATTCTTATTTTACTACTTCAGTTAATAATAATTAAAATATAAGTGACTATTGAATTGATGAATAAAATATATAATATGATATCAATAAGTAATTCTACAAAATCAAATTTCAACTTTATTTGAACCATTTTAAATCAAATTCAATTTCACTTTTTTTTATATTTTATCAATCTTACCATAATTATAAGAGTATAATTAGAACTAATTGTTTTTTAAAATCCTTATAAATTTATTTTCAAAATACATTTTCATATTATTATAATATATATAATTAAATTTAATAGTAATATAAACTTAATTATATATCTATGAAAAGTACTTATTTAATCAAAGATGTTATTTATGAAAAGAATCAAGAGAGATAATTTTAATTTCATAAAAACAAATTGAAAGAGATACTTTCATAAGTATTTTATCAAATAATAGTTCTAGCCATTACAATTAAATTCAGATAGGATTATGTAAAAATTAAAGCATAAACATGAATAAATGAAACTAACATAATAATTCTATACTTAATAATAAAATATAGAAAAATCAAGAATAGATAAAAATTTAATGTTAAAACTATTAAATAACAATAATAAATCAATGAATGGTGCATAATCAACAACACGTTCAAATATTAGAAGTTCTAAAGTTAATATGTATTTGAATACAATAAATAATGAAAATAAAAGTCTAGCAATTAGAATATATTCACTACCATCAGTCATTAATTCTTAAAAACATCAATAAGATTATTAAAATCATAAATCTGATTTAAGAATTATGTAGAGATTTCATAAATCAAAATTATAAACAAATTAAGATACTATAACTTAATAAATATAAAACATATTAGGAAAAGGATTTGAAGGATCAAAATATTCAAATATGAATTTTCTAAAATAAGTAGGAAAATAAAGTAAATTCTTATTTATAATACCACTATAATTGAGTTTATTTTCAAAATTTAGTAATAATAACAATAATCCACCTCATTTTCAAATAAAAGCATTTAATGAATAAAAATATTTAGGAGAATCTAAATCATTATAACTTAATGAATTTCTTGGTTCTTTAATGGGAATTGTAGTTTCATCTGATATTTATACTATTAAATTTACACTTTTTAAAATTAAATAAAATGAGGATGTAAATATTTCATAAAATTTTTGATTAGTTTGAATTGGGACATTTTTTATTCACTGAATCAGCTTCCCCAATTAAAATTAAATAATTAAGAGATAANAATAATATTATTAAATACTAGATTAACAACTATTATAACAATTTATTCTTTATTAGATAAACAAAAATTAATATAAAATCAATTATTATTCTAAATTAAAGAAATAGAAAATGAATAGAAAAGTCAATATCATTTTATATTTTACCAATTCTTATTTTACTACTTCAGTTAATAATAATTAAAATATAAGTGACTATTGAATTGATGAATAAAATATATAATATGATATCAATAAGTAATTCTACAAAATCAAATTTCAACTTTATTTGAACCATTTTAAATCAAATTCAATTTCACTTTTTTTTATATTTTATCAATCTTACCATAATTATAAGAGTATAATTAGAACTAATTGTTTTTTAAAATCCTTATAAATTTATTTTCAAAATACATTTTCATATTATTATAATATATATAATTAAATTTAATAGTAATATAAACTTAATTATATATCTATGAAAAGTACTTATTTAATCAAAGATGTTATTTATGAAAAGAATCAAGAGAGATAATTTTAATTTCATAAAAACAAATTGAAAGAGATACTTTCATAAGTATTTTATCAAATAATAGTTCTAGCCATTACAATTAAATTCAGATAGGATTATGTAAAAATTAAAGCATAAACATGAATAAATGAAACTAACATAATAATTCTATACTTAATAATAAAATATAGAAAAATCAAGAATAGATAAAAATTTAATGTTAAAACTATTAAATAACAATAATAAATCAATGAATGGTGCATAATCAACAACACGTTCAAATATTAGAAGTTCTAAAGTTAATATGTATTTGAATACAATAAATAATGAAAATAAAAGTCTAGCAATTAGAATATATTCACTACCATCAGTCATTAATTCTTAAAAACATCAATAAGATTATTAAAATCATAAATCTGATTTAAGAATTATGTAGAGATTTCATAAATCAAAATTATAAACAAATTAAGATACTATAACTTAATAAATATAAAACATATTAGGAAAAGGATTTGAAGGATCAAAATATTCAAATATGAATTTTCTAAAATAAGTAGGAAAATAAAGTAAATTCTTATTTATAATACCACTATAATTGAGTTTATTTTCAAAATTTAGTAATAATAACAATAATCCACCTCATTTTCAAATAAAAGCATTTAATGAATAAAAATATTTAGGAGAATCTAAATCATTATAACTTAATGAATTTCTTGGTTCTTTAATGGGAATTGTAGTTTCATCTGATATTTATACTATTAAATTTACACTTTTTAAAATTAAATAAAATGAGGATGTAAATATTTCATAAAATTTTTGATTAGTTTGAATTGGGACATTTTTTATTCACTGAATCAGCTTCCCCAATTAAAATTAAATAATTAAGAGATAATTTGGAAGTCTAAATCAATGATCCCATTGAATGCTATTTAAAAAAGGAGATTAACAATGAATAGGTTTGTGTGGGATTATTTGAATACTAGATAATTTAATTTTGTTATTGTTTAAATAAAAAGTATTTAACCATTGATTTACTAGTACATAAATAAAGAAAGATAATTTATTATAACCGTAATATTTAATTGAAGTAGTATAACCATCACCATAAAAATCAGTTTAAAAGAGTTAATCTGAAGTGGATAAATTGTAATTAGATTGATATTTATTTTACATATGATTTGTAATAATTGTTAATTAATTGTTATCATTATATTATAATTTTATAATAATAACAAAGTATTTTCTGAATTTAATAACTACTTATTCTAATAATTACAATTTAAATAAAGATCTGATTTGCAAGATTATTTCAATCAATTACTTACAATTAATAAATTCTATTTAATTACAAAAATTTGAAAAATCAAAAATTATATTATAATTAATAATAATTTTAATGTTAGTCTTTAAAAAACTGTTAGATATTTAATAGATTATTAAAACAATCTTTATAAAAATAAGTTAATTATCTATTAATCCATTAAATAATACTGTAGATATTAATTAGATGTCTATAATAATATTCAAAGAATCTAAGAGACTCATAATTCTTAAGATGATTAAGTTGAATAAAATAAAGAAGATGTTTAATTAATCTATCGAAATTGAAAAAAAGATTATTAATTTATATTTATATCAAAAATATTTTAAATTCTTTATTAATTTTAATTATTTGAATATTTAATTTTTTTATGTTTATATACACTAATTCCATATCATTATTAAAATATAGAATGTCCTATCTTGAATACTAGATGGGCAACCAAAAATATATAATGTTTTTAATTTTTTCAATAGGACTCTTAGTGTAAATAGTCAATTCAAATTAGAATTGTGCATCTATAATGATGTTAGAGAAGTGTGAAAATAGACAAGATTGCTAAGTTATCAATTAGAAATGCATCAATAGATGGAAGCAATGTGATTAGATATAGAATGCTAGTGTAAAAAAATGTAAAAAGTTTAATTGTGAATATGATGAATTGCTATATTTATGCAAAGAAGTAAAATAATGTTTTTATAATAGCCTTATTTCCAAAAATCTATTTTAGAATAAAAAATTCAAGAAAGCACTAATAAAAAGTCTTTCAATAGTTTAGGTAATCGTAAACAACAAAGAAAATTCAAAAACTTAGAAAAATGTAACAAAAATGAAGTGATATAATAAGAAACCTACTCAAAACTGGAACTTAAAGCTATAAAATAATAGATATCTGAAATCAATAATACTCAGTTTGAACAACTGAATTTTATAATTAATTTTGCTACTACCTTTAGTCTTTCGTATATGATAATCAATTTAATAATTTAGTGAATTATAGTCCAAGATTAATTTATAATAAATTTTATGAATATCAAAATATAATTAGAATTCTTATATATAATATTATTAGTTGCATCAATAAAAGAATTTTATAAAATTGATGAAGATGATTATTTCAGATTAATATTTTTCATTTTGTTAATAAAAAAGCAAAACATTCTCTTATCAAGACAATATTTATAAAAATTTATATAATTTTGTAAAATAATCTAAAAACTTGATTGATCATAATAAATTAATTAGAAAATATTAATCGAATAATTAATCTAAAAATAAATGGTATCAATAATTATTTTAATACATCTCTGAATTGAAATCAATTATAATATTTACTTAAATATATACAATGATTAATTTGAATTAATAAAGATATACAAAAAAAAAGATATGATATGTTTAGAATACACCATTTATAATAACTCTATTGATTAGTTGATTAAAATATAAAATATCAAAATATATGAACATAGAAAACTTACATGATTAAACTCATCGTAATACTAGAAGAGGCATTGTATTCTCTCATACTCGCAAGACTTTTACAATAAAACCAGACTCTCCAAAAACAAGAGAAGCATGTCTTGCTTTAGGTTATGATCCTTAAATATTTTAATTAAAGTACTTGTTTACAATCTTATTGATTTAGAACTTTTGAAGAGTTTGCAGAACCAGGTTTAAGTGAAAAAGTTCAAAGAATGAGATATGATCATTACATGAAAAAGACTGAAAGTAAAACGGAAAATGGATTAAAATAGGTGCTTTGTAAGAAATAAGCAAGATGCGTAAAGTGATTATTAAGAAATAAAAAGCCATTACAAATCTACATTTGGAGAAAAGTTATTAAAGAGATGAGGAGTATGAAATTTTAATTATTTAAGATTAGTGAATGATTTAATAGAGACCTATAATAAGAAGATGAGTAACATAAATAATGCAGAAAATGATGAATCTTATCTTTCTTTTGATGATGAAGATCCAATTCTTGTTTTAGAATAATAATTAGAAAAGGAAATTACAAAGTATAAAAAATAATTGCAAGTAAAAGCTAAGGAAGTATAACATTAATTAGAAAATGAAAAAAAAAGATAAAAGTTATAGCATGATATGATTGAAAGAGAGAAGAAAATTGAAGAATTATAATAAAAAATAGCATATTAAAAGGAAATTAAAAAGAAATAATTAAAAAATGCAGCATAGAAAAAGTTGAATGAAATTAAAGAAAAAGAAAAAGAAAAATAAAGAAAATTACTAGAAGATAAATAAAAATAAGCAGAAAAATTTGAGAAAATGTAACTTATTTATATATATATATTTATAAGACGTAAGAAATTAGAAGAAGATTAATTATAATAAAAGAAAGAATTAGAAGAATAAGAAAGAAAATATTAAGAAAGAAGACATATTATCTAATAAAGAAAATAAATAAAAGATAAAGAATATAATCAACATTTGGCTTCAACTATGAATTAGATAGAATTGAAATGGGTTGAAACTTCTTAAAATAAAGATAGATAGATATGGGAATCTAAATTAGAAAGATTAACTATGAGAAGTACTTTACATGAAGAAAAATTAAGATAATATAGATTCAAAACTTAATAAAGAGAAGAATCTTTGATGTAATCAATTGTTAAGAAATTAGCATCTAAAGAAGAAGATTTAAAAGGTAAATTTATGATATTTATTAATAGCATTAAGATAATCAAAAGAAAAGGAGGAATAAATGAGAATTAAAGAAGATAAAATAAGAAGAATGAAAATTGAAAAAAGTATAAAGAATATCAAATCTTAATAAATTGATAAAGTTGATACATTATAAAAGAAATTTAAAATGCTTGAAGATTATTCTGAAAAAAGAAAAGAAGAATAAGAAAATTAAAAATATATAAAAAAAGAAAAAATGAAATTAAAATAATAAGACTTAATTGAAAATTATAAAAGATAAGAGAGATTAAAGGATTTAAAATTTAAGTAATTAATCAAATCTACTCAACAATTAAATGAATAAAAATCATTAGAAAAGATATCTAATGAACTTGTACGTAAAGCCTAATAAGAATTTTAAAGAAAATTTAAGAAAGATGCAGAAAATTTAGATTAGAGTTTATTAAGTGTGAGTTTAGCTGATGAAAAAGTTATGAAGTAAATATAAATATTTATTTTTAGTTAAATGGTAACTTAGCTTGAAAAGAATTTATAAAATTTGGCTCAAAATTCTAAAACATTAAATTGACAATATCATTTGTGATATTGCTATATAAATTAAAATAAACTTTTATTTGATTATTAATTTATTCACTAATTAAATATAAAAGTTTTAAATTCAAAAATTATGTATATCATAATATAAGACACATTAATTACTATTTGAAACAGATAATTAAATAAAATAATACTAGTTAAGATAAAGAACAAATATATTATATTATAAATAAAAATTAAGTAATATGATATAATTTTAAATAAAACAAAAGATATTTAATATTTATGAAATGATCATAATTAATTTATAGAATTTATGATTGTATTATTTATTTTTCATCACACAACAATTTCCATAAGTGCTGCTCTAGTTCTATCATTAAAATTATTTTCAAACAATTCTAACAATTAAAGTACAATCTAGATTTATTCATTTCTAGAAACTCTAGCTTGTTCAGCTGCATTATTGTCTTCTTTACAAGCAACATCAAATGATTTTCTTTCAACTTCTTTGTTGTCATAAATTATTTATTAAAGAAGTGCTTATTATTAAAGATCTTCTAATCTTTATTAAGCAAATTCAGCAGCAGCTTAGTCATCAGCAATTTGGCCAGATAATCTAACATTTTCTTTTTAAAGTCGAATTCTAAAGATTGAATATAAAGAATAGATACAAGTCTTATTAAAAGAATTTCTCAGCCCAATCTTCAGCATACATTTCTCTCTTTTATACATCATATATGCTTTCAATTAAATCATTAATGATATCTACAATCACTTAAACATTATCATTATCTGAATGTATTTTAGCATCAGAACATAATTCCATTAATAATGATGTGATACTCTTAAATTCTGAATTCTAAGCATAGTTTTTCACTATATAAATATAATTTATTATAATTACATAATTATTCATGATGATCTTTTAATTAAACTAAAGCACCTCCTGGATGTGATGTTTATAGTTATCTAATAATTTGTTATGCTTATTTTAAACCATTAATTAAACCAATCAATTCATCTCTTTTTTATTCATATAATTAATGATCTTTTCTTCTTTGTTCTGATAAATTTATTTATAATTGATCATTTCTTTGAATTTCAGCATTCTTTTATTCTACTTAACTTAATTTATTGGTTAATTCTTCTTATTTTCCTGGTATTTACCTTTCATAATCAGCTTTAGCTACAACAGCTTTCTCTTAAATTTAATTAATTAATGAAAACTGATCAGCACATTAAGCCTATCTTTCTCCATTAGCTTTACTAGATCTTGCATCTTCATCTCTTAAATCATAGAAAAGTTTGTTAAGCATAGTATAAATTTATCTAGCAGCATTTCTAATACATATTAATGATAGACAAGTACTCTTATGTAAGTTCTAATTGAATAGTTTACAATATTTAACGACCAAAACTATTTTAAGCTACTTGTTATAAAAATTCAGGTTGTTGACCTAAAGTGCAAATCAGAAGGGTAACCAAAATTATGAATTTCATTATTAATAATAAAAAACGAATACAAAAAATAACAATAATAATAAAATTGCAATACTAATATAGATAATCAATTCATAAAATTCCTATTTATCTTAAGAATACCTTTACATGATTATAATCTAATTCAGTCAAATTATTGTTATGTCCACAATCCACATTAATTAATTAACCAATTTTTGTTATATAATGTGATGTCAATTTCATTTCAATATTAGCTCCTCTTTCTGTAGATTCATTAAGATTATTTGTCTATAATGTATCATCCATATATTCTGAAAATCTATCAACTATTTTATTGAATTATTCTAATATTATTTAACCATCAAGTTTTAACTAAATTTATTAATTTTATATACATTCTCCCAATCATTTTAATTTCCTTATAAATTTAAAAATTCAGTCATAGCTTATCTAAATATTGAATATTGTTAAATAAAATTATGTTGATAATCATGCATACCAAAAGTAAAACAACAAGCAAAAAAACATTAGATTTTTTCTTCAAAATTATCCTAATTGTAAATCAATAATTCTATCAATGCTGTATTATTGTATTTTAAAGAAAATAGTATTTCAATCATTGAATATAAGAGTGGTTATAATCTTTCCAATTCTTCAGCTGTAATCAATTCAACATAATTTTATTAATTATGTAAATTTAAATTAATATTGATTAAAGTTCTATCTTATATATGTTCCATTTATAATTCCATTTTATGTTATTTTATTATTAAATTTACTACTCTACTTAAACTATTTAATAAAACTTTCATTTATTAATGATTCAAAATATTTTAATTGAAGAATATCTAAAAACTAGCTGATTCTTAATCTAACATAGATGTAATCTTGCTAAAATATTTCTCTTTATATGGACTGAACCATTCTCTTGCTACTGCTACTTATAATTAAGCAACGTATGGAATTACTTCATCTTTCGAATCCTATACAATTAATTTATGTCCTCTATAATTCCAATAGTTCATATAGTAAGGTTTATCCCAATCTGTTATAATATTAAATAACATCCTTATACGACTACTAAAACATTTTGAAGCTATCTATCCTATTGATGAAAATGTTCTATCAACAATCAAAAAATCTAAATTGTTTAATAAAGCCACTTCTCCAGCAATTGAACCACCTAATGAATATCCTTAGATTCCAAACCTCATTATATTGAAGTGTTCTTTAAAGTAATTGACAATTGTGTTTGCATCTGAAAGAAGAGCTTTTGGATTGATTTAACCAGTACTTTAACCATATTATCTATAATTCCAAACTATCACATTGATTTTATTGTTTTCATAGAATCTAAACCAATTACACTAGATATATTGATTTCATATTACATCATAGAACATATATTCATAATATCCACCATTTGGATTACAAAAGAGAACTGTGTTATTTGTTTAACCATCTGTTTGATTGATCAAGTACATACAATCAATTTTAGACTTTCCATTCATTATCATTACTCTTTTTGCATTTGGATTCTTTAATTATAATCTAGCTCTGAATTCATTTAATCCACCAAATAATTCTAATGTACACCATCTTATTAATTTCTAAAAACCCTTTAATTATTGCACATGTTTATTTGCAATATTGTACATACTATCCAAATTAATTATCAAATAGTCAACATATTTTTATTCAATCTGATTACCTTTCAATATTTACTCAAAGAGATATTCATTGTTGCATTTAGTTCGAAGTATTGAGAGTATTTATTTAAGACAATTATGATATTCTTATTATAATTTACTTTAGTTCTACATTGTTTAAAATATCTATTCTTATGTATCAAACCATTATATAATGTTAACATTTGGTTATTTGCGTTGATATATAATTTCTTCGAATTCCTTTACATATTATTAGACCATCTATATAATTGAGTTGAGTCCTTACCTTAGCATGTAACAAACCTTGATTATTTTAGTTAATTCTTTAGTATAATCTAAATGATCCAGGGTAGATCAACGCTTGGCATATCAACCTCAAGATCAAGTAGAGGATTATCAATAAGAATAATAAACTTAAAGTAAAGTCTAAGAATAAGTGAAGAACACTAAATGTTCCTAAAATAAATAGTAAAACTATGGCGTAAAGGCAAATAATGTGAGTATCCGTTTTAATATTAATAATAATGAAAATCATCGCTTTAGTGTTAGTTGGTTTATTGTGTGTTTCAGCTGAAACCTAAACAAGATCACCAGGTCAATTATTGGTTGATCACATTAACAGTTTGATCCTCTCCATCAGAAATGAATAAACAGAACATGACGATATCTACACAGTTTAATAAAGAGAATGTGGAGATGAATTAGGATTCAGAAAGAAGGAAGTCTAAGATGCTGTAGATGCCTTAACTAGAGCTACTGAACACAAGGGAAGAGCTTAAGCTGCTCATGCTTCAGCCACAGCTGATTTGATCAGAGTTAAGACCTATCAATAAATCCTTGAAGACTAAGTTGAGTTCATTACCACTAGAAGAAACGACAGAGCTGCCAACTTCAATAAGAAAGTTTAAAATATCAACACATCATTGTCTTTGATTGATGGTGCTGAATAAATTGTCAATGTAATTATTTATATTTAAATTATTAGGAATTCGCTAATGCCTCAGCCTCATTCATCTAAGTCACAAAACACTTCAATAATATGTTCCTTTAAGCCACCAAAGCTGGTAATGCTGGTGAATATGCTCCATTATTGTCAGTCCTTGTTGAATTAAGTGGAGATGGAAACGTTAGTGTCGATAACATCAACAGAATCAGATAATTATTAAATGAATTAAGAGAAAAATTATCAGCTGCTCTTTCATAATTGACAGACAATGAAAATACTTAAATCGAAGTCTTCTAAGCTAGAAAGAATAGAGTTCAAGATGTCATCACTCTTTTAGTCAATGTCTAAGGATAATTAACAGCTTATATTGCATAATTATAAGCCACCATCACCAAGGAAGAAGATATCATCAACTCAGCTACAAGCAAGAGAATCAGAAATTAAAACTTACTTAACTATGCTAGTGACATGTGCAATGCCTTCAATACTGAATATAATGATAGCACTGGTGCCAGAAGAAAGGAAGTTGAACTCTTAACCAAATTAAGAACCTTTGTTGAATAAAGAGTTGAAGAATTCAATCAATATGGAGGAGATCCCACTGATGTCTTTGCCAGTTATGCCAAATAAGGATCTGCCTAAGCTGCTGAGGCTTAATTCCTCTAACTTAGAGCTAACCTTAGAGCCAGAAAATGAGTTTTATAAATATCATAAAATTCAAACACAAATCCTATATTTTCTTATTTTTTTAATATAAACTCAATTAAATTTAGGATAACTACTATTATTGTATGAATTCTAGGGTTATGAATACTAATTCTATGGAATATAAGGATTTTATTAATTAGGAATTTATTAGTATTACTATTATTATGGATATTAAGGATATTATTATTATTATGGATATTAAGGATATTATTATGCATATTAAGGATTCTATTATTATTATGTGTATTATTAATATGGTTATTATTAAAATGGAATATTTTATTAATATTAAAGTTGTTATTATTATATATTATTATTTTATTAATTTACCTAAGGTATAGTAATTGCAGAAACAGCAATCATAGGTTTAGCAACCTATATCTTTGGAACAATAAAAATTGGAGTTTATCCAGGAGTATTTGAAGGATTATTAACATTACTCTAAGTTCTTTCAGGTTATAAACTTATTTACTGAATTCTTAAAATTCCTAATTTTTCCATTTCTTATTTGAAATCTTCAGGCAAAGGAAGAATATCTATTTCTAACCACTCTACTGATTTCTTATATCTATATATTAAATATTTTGATTTTACCCTCCTTTGAATCCTCCAAATGTAAATCCTGGAAAACAAAATCTAAAGGACTAATCTCCAATACCACCAAAGGTTTAAACCTTACCACGATAAGTTACAAATGTAATATTTATAATTCTATTCTTTTTAGCAGATTAGTATGCACCAAATATTTCACTTACGTAATCATCAGGTCCTATTTCAATTAAAACATTCTTAAGCTCTTTCTTGGATTTTGGGACATTATGACCTGCTTTCAATAGGTCTCCAGCATTTAATTTGTAAAATATTTCAAATCCACGTACACTAAAATATAGAATGGAACAAAATACGATTTTTCTGTATAGAAAACTCTTATAGCTTAGATCTTTTTATAACCTCCAACCTTTTAGAGTTGTTTTAAATCATCAAAAACTTCTAATTTTGAATTTTAAATTCCTATTTAAACTTTATTAGGAGCAATAATTGCTGCTTACATTATTTATTAAATATTAAAAATCAATCATCTTTTAACTCTTTCAAATTTTCCTTACTTCTCTTGTTTCATATTTGGATTCAATTCTTTTTCTGGACGTTCATCACTAAACATTAATGTATTTGGATTATCTTCATCTAATATAGACTTTGGCATAGGCTTTCCTTCCCAAAAAGGTCCACTAAAATGTTATCTATCTAATAGTTCTTTATGTCTAAATCAAAATGCTTAACATACTTTTTCAAATCATCTGGATCAACATTAGCTGCATACCAATTTGAATAATCAACTTCCTTTCTTTTTTCTGCTTATCCTTAAACCAAATTTCCATTTTAATAAATATAAGTACCTTTTTTCAAATCAATATCCTCCTTCTTTTACTATTATTCCTATTACTCATTTAATTTTTAGATAATGCTTTCTGGTGTTATTTCATCTTCTTAAGTAATTTATTTGAAAGGAATATTAGGATTTGTTAATTTCAGAAAATTGATTTAGTAATTTATTTCTTTGATTATTTAATCTTCAGGTTTATTTTCCTATACTATTTTCATTAGATTTAATGAAGCTCTTTATTATTTTTATTAAGGAAGTTGATCAATAAAATTTTTAGCAGATAATAATAATAGTCTCACTTCTTTCCTAATCATTTAATTAATGAAATTTATAATATTTGAATAATTATCATGCTTAGCTCACTTAACTCATAATAGTCAACCATCTGAATTTTCAATTATTATGAATGTCTTAATTGTTAATTTGTAATATCTTGCTTTAATGCTTCCTTTAAATGGATGGCATTTAAGGAATTATATAGATGGTCATCTTTATCTTTTAAAATAATTTGCATAGGCAACTTTAATTATTCCATATGGCTTTGAATCTTAAATTGATTTTGGTCCTTTTGCTTTAGCTATGGTGATTATGTTGCTAATTTCATTTTTTGGAATCATTATAATATTAGTTACATTTGGAATATTTGATAACTAAAATCCAAAGGATCATTATTCATTAAGAAAATTTATCTTTCACTATTTATAAATTTGTGTAACAACCTTATAATTACCTATACTTTTTTTATTTTTTGCATTGATTATAATTGGATAAACAAAAATAAATTAACATGATACCATTATTAATCTCAAAAGTATTTTAGGATTGATTGGAATATTAATCTTTTCTATTTTTGTATTTCTTTATTATTACTTTTTAAGAGCTTATACTTTTATGCCCTTTCATTATTTTTAATAAAAATACAATCTACTCTAAATTATACATTATTTATTTAATATACTAAATGTCATTTTATATATTATTGATAATGATATTTTGATAGAATATGTAAAAATAGCTGTTCTATTTTTATTATTTATATTAAGACTAACTGAGTTATATTATTTTAGACCATATATACCATACATTAATTAATTGTTATATATGTCCCATAGTAGTTTACTTGTAATACTAATAATAATTAGTATAAATATTTTGATGGCCGATAAACACATTTTGCATGAAGATTAATTACTTTACACAATATTAGTGTTTGGAAGTTTATCATACTATTTTAGTAAAATGCATTATGAGACTAAATGTTTATCCACTTTTGATTTCGAAATGAATTCATTTTCATGTATATATTATACTTAAGAGATGCATTTCAAATATCTATAGACAATTGAAAATTAAAAATAAAAAGAATTCTTTCAACTTTATTTATATTGGAAAGCTCATAAGGTTGTATGTACTAGACATTGGCTAAAGGAGACATATAAAACTGAATATAATTAAATTTAAAGAACTTATTAAACAATTTTTTGTATTTTAAATACTGAATTAGAAAAAGCTCAAATGGATTAAAGAGTATCTTATGAAGAATTATTATTGTTATATATTAGTTATGTTGCATAATTTTGCAAAAAACCACTTTTAGCATATACAGAATTAAAAAGATATTAAAGTTAAAAGTAGATTTAATCTTATTATTTTATTTGTATTCGTTATTAAATGAGTATTTATTTATAAGATTTAATAAAAAATCAACAATAAGAAAATAATTAAATATCTTTTTAATTAGGAAAACAAATATAATCTGATAGATAACTAAGCATTCATGATGTATTTGAAACAATGAGATTTTAAGATCAATTCATTCCTTCCCTTATTGAAATATTAAGTGATAAAATTAATTTTTGGACTAAATAAATAAAAGGATTTAATTCAATTTATGAAGTTGAAAAATTAGCCATAGCTTAAAGTTAAAAAATTCATAAATTAACATCATAAATAAAATAGTATTGTTCAATTGATATTAATAATTTAGATCATTAATAAATAAATAATAATGTTTAAAATTTAAAGTTATTATCAATATTTTGTAGTTCTATAATGAATGACTATTATAGTTCATAGATATGTGAAACTGCAATTACTGATGTTTATAATATAGAACATACATTTTAAGAAGATGCAATTACTAATTTAGCATTTATATAAGAGAAGGCTGTCTTAATAATGATTAGTCTAGTAAAAAATAGAGGGAAGATTATAAATAAAGATAAGAAATTAATTTCATAATTTTTTGGCTATACAGAGAAAGAAATATTTGAAATTGATAATATATCAGGTTTAATGCCTTAATATTTTGCTGAATAACATGATAAATTATTATTAAATTATTTACAAACTGCTAAATCTGGATTTTTTTTAAATTTTAATCAAGTATTTGGATTAAAAAAAGAAGGATCTCTAAATTCATATTAATTAAAATTAGATAATAATTTTAGTGAATTAGATGATTATGTTTTAATTGGTTGTTTATCAGAATTTAAAAAAACAAATGATTATATTCTTTTTAATGAAGAAGGTTTTTTAATTGGAATGACAGATAATTTTTATTATACAATTATTAATTCTGATGATTAGAATTTTAAAATTTCCAAAGATAATATTGGTTAAATAAACATCTTTTTAATAATTTCTAATATAATGGATATATTAAATGAATTTAAAAACAATTATGGAAAAGATGTTATTAATAATTAATAAGATAGATATATAAAGATTTGGAAATATGTAAATAATAAAGATTTATTGGAAAATTCTTAAAAGATGTAATATTATTCTTCAAAATTGAATTCTTGTTATAATGAAAATAGTTTATTAAAATCAAGAACATCAAATATTTCATTAGAGAGAGAAAGAGCAGAAATATAAATATATGAATAATTAGGAAGGAGTAATGGAGAAAAGAAAAAATATAAAGGAACTTAGTTATTATAATCTTTATCAATATACAATATTTAACTAGGAAATTAATTATAAAATATTATTTAAGCATTAGAAGTAATAATATTTAGTATTATAGATTAAAAATAGATCTCATTTTATGGCAAAAACTAATATTACTTATAAAATATTAGGCAAAAAAACATCCAAAAAATGCTATTTTATTTTAGAAATAATTGATCTAAAAAAAGCAGATGATTTGCTTAAGACAAACGAATCATTAATTAATAATTAATATACAACTTCAATTTAAACAACAAACAAACGTATGTTGTCTTAGATTTTTATTTTTAGTTTTTTTAAATTCAGATTAAAACCAAAGTAATCTTGAAATATTTAAAGTTGATAAAGAAGAAGTTACTCCAAATATTTTAAAGCCATCCTAACCATTTTTGTAGAGACTTATTAGTAAATATGAAATAAAATCATAATAATAATATCTTGATATTTTAGGAATGGAATCTGCTAGAGATAGTGTCAGTTATGGACCATTATCATAAAGAATTAATTTTATTAGTCCATCTTCTAAGTAATAATAAATGTAAGAATTAATTGATAAAGATTTTACAGATCTTCAAAATCAATTAGAATATATAAATTAAGATATTAACTAAGATAATGAAATTCCAGACTCTTCACAAATAAAGAGTAATAGTAAAGAATAAAATTAAAAAAGTCATAATATCATTGAAATTTATCAAAATAATAAGTTAAATTAAAAAATAGAGGATATGGATAGAGATGTCAAAAAGTCAAAATCTAGTATTACATCTGGAACTTCTGGTATATCAGCTATATCAACTATTAAATAGTTTCAGTCTAATACTTAAATGACAGATAGTCTTAAAAAACTAGCTATTATTAATATTATAATAATGATAATAATTATAGGTTATATTATGGCTCATTTGATAAAATTATAGACTTATACAAATTAAACTTAATAAACTTTAGCTAATATCAATGGACCTACTTTATTTAATCGTTATTTTTTTAAAATCTTCACTTATACTTGGAGTCTAGTATTTAATACACTTGATATTATAGAAAGTAGTAATTTTATAATAAAATCTACGATCTCTGAAATGCATGAATTATCTAAAATAGTATTTATTGATTTAAGCAGAATGTATGATATTTTTATAGGGATTGAGGAATCAGGAATGTTAAGTTATATTAACTTAGATTTTCTATATTAATCAAATGAAAATGTAACTTATACATATTTTATTAATTTAATATCTGCTGTTTCAGATACATTATTTGAAGCTCTTAAATATGATGTTACTACACTTATTCAAATAATTGATAGAAATTATTTAGATAATTTATTAATGTTGAGATATAATCTTAAAAATGTTGTAGTGATGAATTCATAATTAATTGATTCTTTAAATGAAGTTTATTTCAAATAATAAGATGATAATATTTAAGAATTTTAAATATAAATTATTTTAGAAATTGTTTTCTTACTTATTATAATATTATCATAATTGATTTATTGGAAATAAATTGAATAATATTGTTAATAAATATTAATATTAGCAGGTAGACTATAATATATTCAAGCTTAAGAAATGATTTTAAGATTTACTTTTGTAATTGAAACTTTAAAATCATTCTCTGGAAATTAAAGTTGGAAGAAATAAAACTTTTATAAATTATTATTTTTTCCATTAAATGAAATAGGAATAGATACTGTTTAAAGTTAATCTAGAATTTTAAAAGATTATCAAAGTTCATAAATTAGTTAATAATTGAGAATCAATTAAGTATTTGATGAAAGACAAAAAAATCTAAAAAAGAATTTAAATGTTATGTTAAATTCTAAAATTAATAATCCAAACACTACAATTTTAAAAGCTACAATTTAAACAATAATAACATTTATAATTTTTTTAATCTATCTTTTAGGTGGATTTTTATTATTTCAATAATAATAAAATGATTTATTACCAACTCAATAGTTGACTTTAAGTTTTATAAGATTTACATCATAATTAGATATAGTAGTTAGTACAGCATTAATTACTAAATCCTAACCTATTTTATATGATAAATTAGTAGAAATGAATATATATACTAATAAAGAAATAGATAGATTTAGAGATTAAAGAAAAATTATTAAAATTTTTATCTCCCTATATTCAATCTATTATGAAAATATTACTTCAATTTATGAGAATATTATTAAATCTAATAAAATAACAAGTGAAGATGCCAGTACATTGCTTTCTTTATATTAAGGAGACTTTTGTATGGAAATTGGTTCTGATATACCCTTTTGTAATTATGATACACTTCCTAATTTTAATTCTCTTTATGGAATTCCAGATATCTAAGATGACAACAGAGAGTATCTAAGTAAAGGTATACAAGGAATTGTAAGTAAATTAGACACTTTTTTCAAATAAAATTATTAATTTGAAATTAATAATACTGAATATTTTCCAGATAAAAATGTAACTAAAGATATTTTAATTTCAAAAGATTTTACAAATGCCATAATGGAACATTTCTTAGATACAACAGATGGAACAAATTTATTTTTAGATAAATTGATGTAAGCTATTAATAAAATAACTAATGATAATTTGTATTTATCATATACATATTATTTAATCACTGGATTTTTATTATTAGTTATTTTCCTTACTTTTTATGGATTTTGGATATATAACTCAAATCATAGATTAATATTACTTAGGTTAATTCTAACAAATTTACCTATTGAAGTATTAACTGAATAAAATACATTGAGCTTACTCAGAAAATTATAATGAAAGATATTAATTTAATAATTTATTTATATAATATGATATTTTTATTATAAAATAAGCAATTATATAATGATCATTATAGAAATTAATAATATTATAGAAATTAAATATTTTGAAAGTTTTAAATTAATATGTCTAATTTCAATTATAAATAAAGATTATTATAAATAAATAGTTCATTTTAGAAGTTTCAACAAAGATATTGTATATATGTCAAGCATAATTTCAATTGGCAACAGAGTTATTAGTAATCTAATGTAAATTAATCTTAAATTCACTTTCACTACTATAAAAGTTGATGAAGAAAGAAGAAACACAGTAAAAATTACACCTACTGCTATTTAATATATATTATATTATTTTTGCTATTCTTCAATTACATTAATTAAGCAATGTTACATCCTATCAATAAATGCTTCAAATCCAATATAAGTATCAAGATAATATTAAATTATGATGTTATTAAAATCTTATGTATTGATTTAATAATTCAATAATGTAAAGTTATTAATTGGTTATCCTGTTAGAATTTCTGTTTCATAATATTAATTTAAGAAATTATCCATTTTACTCACCATTCCAGAAATTCCTTTACTAAGATATTCAGAATTATTATCTTTAATTGAATATTATCCAAATTTATTTTCAAAATTAATTTAACTTAAATTTCTATTACAAAATGCCATTTATGATTAAAACAATTAGCAAAAATCTCCATTATACAAATTTAATATAAATATTTCATCATCTTCATTCAAAGCATCAGATTCTATTATATGATCATAAATATCATGTAAATTACTATGATCAAAACTATATACACTAAGTAAATGAGGGATTGTATTTAATTATTATATATATTTATTGAGAATCCTTGCAGAAAATGGAATTCTCTCTTTTATGTAATTATAAATCTAAAATTCAGATTTTATTATTAATGAAATTGCTATAGTATTTTCAAAATCTATATAAAATGATATATAATCCATAGCTAATTCTTGAGTAGGTGATAATTGTAAGGTTTAATTATTAAATATTAGATAACAGCCTATGAAATACAAAATAATTATAATAGCAAAAACTATTACTAAAATACTTTTAATCATTAGTCTAATAGAAGATTTTTATATTCTAGAGTTTAATGGAATAGTTGATTATGAAGATTATTTAATTTAAGTTTCAATAAATTTTTAACTATTTTGGAATAAAATGGATTCTCGATATTTCATTTTAGTAATTTGTTTTAAATTGTTCTTCTTTAAAGAATTTTCTATATAACAAAGTTTATAACAATTTCTCTATTTATAACCAAATTCACCATATAGTTATTTTATTACTGGAATTATTAATTTAAATTTACTAATTTAAGATTCTGCTGCTTTTTCACTCAATCTATTTGATAACATTAAAATTCTTTAACAATATAATTCTATTTTTCTCCAAAAAAATAATTATGATATAATAACAATTCCAATTACTATTATTTAAATTAATATTAAATTAAAAAATTTTGATATCTTTCCATCTTGTTAAACTCCATAATATTTACTCAATGAAATAATAAGTTTTTCATTGTTTATGACAATATTATCAAAATTTATCCTATATTTTAATAAATTCATATAATAATTTTATTCATTCTCATTATACAATAATCTATAACCAACTTATTCAAGATAGTAAAGATAATCAGTAAATTCAACATTTTCTACTTATAAATTTTATTCTAAATGAATTATTTAAATTTCATCTAAATAATGATTTTCTTCTAGAGCTATAAAACTACCATACATTATTGTCAAATTTTAAAATGTGCTCTGCATACTAACTCTTTAGTTTTAAAGTTAATTATCAATAAATTAACTTGTATTTAAAATATTCATTTTTTACATTGATATTATCCAAGAATGAGTAAATACATTTAAAAAATATTTGTTAAAATTTATTGGTAGATTGATATCAGATATAAAATTTTTTGCTTGATTATTAAAGGTTAATACTTAAGCCAAGTTTATAGACATGAATATTATAAATAGGATGATTATTAGTAATTTTAAGATAGATATAATTGTTAAACTGGATATTAAAGAAGTTTAAGTTTTAAAATTGTTAACTATTTCAATAGCTGTTTATCCAGATTAACCTGATTTACCACTTGATTATGATTTAAGTAATAGTTCTTGATTAGATTTAAGTTCTTTATTTTTTTACATAATCTAATTAAAATCATTGCTAATTATTTCTTCATGAAAACTCTCTGATTCTACTTAAGCTATTGTACCTATTTAATTAGTTCTTTTTTGGCTAACATAATTTAAAATTTGTTTTGATCTAGAATGTTAATCAAGAAAACTTTATTATTATTATATTTAAGATCCCATGGGACTCATAATTGATGAATCCATCTATAATTCTGGACTCCTATAATTTTATTAGGATTAAATAATTTAACTAGGTCTTCTGTTTAGATTTCTAATATTAGTATTACGCAATTAACTTTATTATTTTTTTATTTATTTCTTTTCATCTTCTTTAAGATTACCTTTATCAATAAAATCAGAACAATCTAAAATAAAATAATTTTATTTTTGTGCTTTTTTACCTATATCTACAATTTTAATTTTAGCAGTGCATAAGTACATAGTCTTTTATAAATCCTAAAGATAGTTATAAAATTACATCAATAGCATTTAAAAATTCAATTAATTATTGTTCTTTTTATTATTCTAAACTGGATAAAACACTTTTTCCCTCTTATTTTAAATCATTTTATGGTTCTCTATTTGTATCTAAGTTTATTATATCTTCTTAATAATTCTTTTAATATGATTTTACATCTGTAATCAATCTCTAATTCATTCCATTTCTAGGACTATTTATCATAGAATTTAAATGTTCATATTAAGTATATGTTTTTGTTTACTCAATTTACTTTAAAGATTAAGGTTAATAAGTTGTAAAAATAGATTCATGAATTTTGAATAATTAAATTAAATCTTAATAAACATAAAGAATGACTGATTTTTATAAAAATCCTCCTTCTTTATTTTTGTTATTTTATAGCATATCATTAACATACATATGTATATGTGGAAGAAACATGTAAATGTAAAATAGTTCAATATTTTATAAGAAAAATTCTTAATTTTCTTTTGGTATCAATAATTTACTCATTTCTTAAGTGATACCAATACATTTACCAAATTCATCAAATAATAAATAATTATGAGATTCTTTTATTTTTGTCATACTACCAATTAGTGTAAAATCATCAAATATATTATAATTATTATATATGTTAAGATATTAAGGTATAATAAATCCATTTTTACCTTTTGCAAATGTTATGACATCTCTAAAAACAAGATCTGTCTTTGCTTCCTTAATATATTATTATAAAAAACCATCATGTAAATAACCAAAATATGATGGCATCAATTCTCTTATATAATTAATTTAATTAAAATCCATTAAAGAATACCCAAAATAATTTGCTAATTGACTCTTATTTTTATTAAGTATTTATCCTAATTGTTTAACCAAACTTACAATTATCAATACTGAATTATCTTATAAAATATTTGATCTTGATAATGTTTTTTATTAAATAATTGTTTCTGCTTTCATAATATCAGAAATTTTCTATTCACATAAAAAAGAATTGTAATAGTCATTTAATACAAAACTATGAAACATAGAACAAATTTTCAAAGTTAAAATATTTTCACAATTTTTTATATATTCATCTTTTATAACATTAATTTATTATTCTCTTAAATAAATTATACAATCTACTATTTTTTTACTTAAAGGAAGTGCAAAAGTTTAAAAATCATAGATAGATTAACATCCTTATATTTAAAATTCCCAGATTCTTATTTTAAATTAAATAATCTCTAAAAGTGCTTTTTAAAATGTTTCCTCTAATTAACAAAATTAGTAAAGTTCAAGTGTTGTAATTCTTTTTTCATTACTGATATTATTTTTTACTTATTATAATTATTCATTTTAATAAATCTTTTAAACAGCTGATACTTTTCTTTATATATATAATTCAATTCTTTATTTAATGAATTCAAAATAATATGATTTAGTATAATTATTATTTTATTCAAATCTTTTAAATTCAACATAAGCAACAAGTGGTTTCTTTCTAATAAGAGTAATAAATGATACAAATAATAATTATATTTCTTCTAAATCATTTCTTTATTCATAAATTAGATCAAAAAATATTTCAGTTATTAAATACAAACCTAACTTATAATAATCAGCCATATTTGTACTTTTATTACTTAAAAGAGCCTTTTGTTTAAATTATGAAAATTTTTCATGATTAATTAATTGATAGATGAGTAAATGTTACATTGTTATAGAATTTGAATTAATTTAACTAATACAAGAGTATAATTCATATATTTAATTTAATTATCTAGTTCTTTTATTAAAGTTATATTGAAAAAGAAACTAAAATATATGATTTCCTAAAATTAATCCTAAACTTAAAATAAACATTATATAAATAGCTATCTAATCTTCAGGAAATATTTGATTTTTAGATGAAACATTAAATGTTATTAATATTGCTAATGATTCTAGAGTGAATGAGATTTCAAATTCAAGCATATTTTTATTTGGAAAATCAGATTGATAGTATAAATGATTTACAATTTTAATGATAAAGATTATATGTAAAATAAATAAACCAACAATATTATATAATTTAGATTAATCATCTAAAGTTAATACTATAGCAACTAAATTTAATAATATTAATGAACTTCTTAATTTTGTAAATTTTTATTACATTGGATGATAAGCAATAAAAGAATACATTCTTAAAAAATATTCACACACTAAAACATAAATAGAGTATAAAATTAATGTACAAATATTTATGATTAGTTAATTTGTCTAATTGTTATTGTTAGCATCTATAATTTATTATATATAAAACTTATAACATGGTATTTGTAGTGTTTAAATTGTAAATAATATAATTG